GTCTGCAGGAATGAGCGAAGCCTCTGCAGTTTCTAGCCCAAATGAACAGCACAACTATGCATGCTTGCAAATAATGCTAATCATCAGTGGATCAAGTATCGGTGTAAACGCAAAAAAAGAAAATGCGAGGGCATGACTTGCGGGTTTCTGGTCTATAAAAGTGACGTTTACTAGTTAACAAGTTTTAAAGCAACTGAAGAATAGGGAAGCGATAAATATTTAATAATAGCACTCGTAGCGAGGGCTAGCAGTGTTCAAATGCCAAGTATTACTACAACAAAACTGACTGAGAGACGGAAGGCTAAATGTTGTTTCTGATCTTCGTATGGGCGATCAATTTTCTTCAACCTGCACCAGTACGATGTGTTTTGCAGAAAAGACTAGAAAAATCTTGGGAAAATGGAGTGTGTTACAGAGAGCAAGATCAAGGACCGTGTAAACCAAACAGCGATGAACCACGGTTGTTCCGATGGGATCCCGTGAGGGTATGTATGTTTGTTAGTAAGATTAACTCGCTCGTGGTTTGGTTGTTCTGAACGTATGGCGGCTACCTAAATTAACGCAAAACTCAAGACATTTTTTCTTATACGAAAAAGATGAAGAAAAACAAAAGTTGCTAAACGGAAATGACCTGTCCGGTGCTGCTTTCCTTGGAATAGCGGTTTTATTCAGAGACGCGACACTTTACATAAAAAGAGTTGCGTAGGTAAACTACCGGGAATAACTTCAAGTCTGTGCAACTAGAGGAAGAGAAAGCATTTTGGATCTAAAATGACAATAGTCTCGAGACATACAAATCACCATATGTTCATTTTATTAACTCAACCACGTGGGATCCACATCATAAATCGGTAACTCGGCACTCATAATAATGTCCGCACTGAATCTCGCTCAGAAAGTGATTAACCTCTTTATCAATCGATTGGAGATACAGCTCTTCGTTCTGTTGTACTCAATATAGAGTTTCAGAGTGCCCCTCTAGTGTTATTTTATGTTTGAAATTATCAATAAAAGATATATTATGTGCGATTTGTCGAAGGCAGTCCAATACGATAAATCCTTTCAGGGGTATAGAATGGCTGCTCCAAATATGTGGGTCGCGGAAAGCCCGCTCTTGAAACCTCCAACGCCGGTTTCAGATGGGTCTCGAAGTCTGGTTTCGGGTAATTTTGAGTCTCGGATTCTCGATTTTGTTTCAAGAATTTTGAAACTGGGGTCTCGCAGTCTCGCAAGGTCTCGAATTTACCATTCTATACCCCTCCTTTTGATTGGCAAATTCGTTCGTTGTTGACTGTACCCAAGAGGCCTTTAGTTTATTTACCAAAAGTTAACATTCATTTAAAAAATTTTCATTAATTTTTCCGATTCGATTGTGAGTACAATCGATGTTCGCCAACGATTTGACATTAGAAAACTGCAAAACTTAAAAGCAGGCGAAGTTCATATCATGAAGGTACCTGTCGAAACAGAATAAATAATGGTACCTGTGAAATGCTGACCATTTACATAAAATGGTGGTAAAATACAGCAGCTGTGAGTGTTATGTCCATTTCGATCTGCCCGCGATCTATTTTGTGGTTAAAACATTATATGGCGGTGTAAGTTATAAGCAATAATCGCTTGCTTATAAATGCAAAGTAATCATAAAAATTAGCAATAGAATGCTACTGTAATAGAGACCTTTAGATTCTAGGACGTGAACGAGTACTATATTTGACTTAAAGTTTTTTGGCGTATTCTTCAGTTATGGACACCCCGGAAAGCTTCATTGCACTACTTTTTCACCAAAGAAATTAACATTGTTACCCTTACTGAAGGAGCTTAAGCCATCCCGTAGCCTCAAAATGATAAAACCTCTAACACTTTTTAACTTTTTTCCGTTACCACGACATTCTCGCTAAAACTCGTAGTAGAATGACGACGGTAATCATGTTTTCCAGCCAAAATGACGCTGGCTCACGCGGAAGCCCTAGTTTGCTAGTATTGAGAAAATCTCCGGTAATCGTACGTAGTAGTATTCGGCTCACAATCTAAAGCTCTCCAATATAATGTTGGCACAAAACGATTAAACATTGGAACAAGGCGCAGAGGCTACTACTATGTTTTACTCATCAGTGCCAGACTCCTGTTTGTACTTATCCTTATTAAGCTTTCGCGAATTCTGCTTGCATTCTGCCAAAACTCGAGTTTTTCATGACCAATGATTACGTTATACGGTTAGCGTGTGCGCAGCGGCAAAAAGTTACCTCGAAACTTGTATCACCGTCATGTAGCCCCACAATGAGCGAGGGCAGTACTCACCTATTTTACGTTTTCTTTTTTCGTAGAAAGGTCACGTGAGAGAATTAGAATTAGAACCAGGAAAAAAGTTTAAAATGATAACACTCGCCTCCAAACCTCCGTTATTTGGTAAGTCCTTTTAGGCTAAAACCAGAACCCAAAACTTCCAATATTTTAGAACTCTTAGTTTGTAAATAAAGCTTGACTGTGTCTTCTTTTAAAAGTAATGTCCTGGTTGCTTGGCCATTCATTGCAAGGTTTTCGCCGGTGTTGGGTCACCAGTACTCTTATACAAGGGCACACAGCGAAAAAAATGCGGGCAAAACTTCTGTGTAAGAAAACAAGTGATGGCGAACACATCCCGGGACCTGGTGACTTTCACTTACTTTACAATTCCCACTTGCCCATCCACTCCATCTGTAATATATCGCATTGTCTTGACGTTTGAAAGGCAAAATAGGACAAAAACGAGCTCTAAGAGTTCAGCTGCCGAAACTATTATAAAGATCCACTTGAATAAATAGAAAAAAAACTAATGAATGAAAGGAGCTAAACTGACTGAAACACTACCTGGCTGCGGGAACATAACTGAGTTCAAAATATCTATCAGTTTTTTTTTTGGTCCATCAGGCCAACCGGACTAGGTTTCTCTGAGCCAAGTGAGTTTCATAAACCGATAATTATATCGGGCTATACACTGAAGAATATTTCCATTAACATAAATACTACCAAAAAGACGAGACATGACATGTCACTTTTGTTTTCTTTTGGTTAGAAATTCCAGATTTTCTGAGCGAGAACGAATGCAATCACATCATCAGTTTAGCTGAAAGGGTTGGTCTCCGTGGAAGTGATGTACATCTTGACGAGGAGCTTAACCAGCGAAAAGAATTTTTGCAAGGTATGCCGATGAAGGGTTGTCCAACGGCCAAACGCCGAACTTTTCATGAGACGAACCAAACTTGTGTGTTAAATTCATGAAAAGTTCGACGTCTGGCTCAGTTGAGTTCGTCTAAAAATGAGTTTGGGTCAACAGTTCAACACGCTCTATCCGTGTGCTAATCAGACGGATAGAACGTCTGTAGGTCTTCTCCGGAACAAACGTTACGTTGATCTTCATATGCGACGAACTAAACAAATAAATTTGATATTTGTATCATACTGTATTATATACTTAGCCTTGTTCGGGAGTAAATTGTTTAAAACTGCTTTTCGTTACGATTTAGTTTATTGGCTATACGGGTCCTAAGTTCGACGTCTGACCCAACAGACGACCGCAACTTAATTATAATTAAAAGTTAGATCGACCCGAATTAGAGCTTGGTTCGTCTCATGAAAAGTTTGACGTTTGGCCTCGGCCTTACTTAGTTACCGTTAAACGCGTATTGTTCACGTTTGGACTGCCGTAAACGGGCATGTTTGTTTGCGTTTACACTAGCTTAAAAGGGACTCGAAATTCGACAGAACGTTGGTTTAACTGTAGTTGTTACGCACTCATGGTAATTTCTCACACTCTTTTCTAACTCTTGATGTTCGATCCAAGGCGTGCAAATTACCACAGCAAATTCTGTAAATTAGTCCCATAGTGCAATTCGACACAACACCGACTCAGTCTAAAATATGTATGTGGTAATGTATCGTTTAAGACTGGATTTTTAACTAGTTCTTAACAACTCTTTCTTCAGGACAAGCCAGTGGTAAAGCTGGATCCTTCCATTACTGGGACAAAAACGGAGATGGTGTCATCACTAGAGATGAAGTATTTTATGTTTCAAACGTATAGAAAACTGACAGATACATCTTAATATTTTCTTGAAAACAGCAGAGTAGTCTTAGTCGCGCCATTTTTGAGGCACAAAAGAGGCTTTATGAAGCTGAAAACGTTTCAGTGACGTGAGCATTAAAGCAGATACAAGCAAGTCTCTTGAGTACGCTTTTAAATTTATTTATACAAAATTCCTCTAACTATTTACCCTATTCAATTTTTCTACCATGTTAGGTTATTGAATTTGCTGAGGGTTTTAAATTTCTTTATCTCGACCCGACGGAGGTAGATGACATGTGAGTACGTATTTCTTTTGACAAGAACAATTCTTAGAGCGGCTGAATTTGTCTGCGGTATCTAAGAGCAAATGTTGGTCTATATTTGCATTTTAGGATAAGCAAGCTTAACATAGAGGAGTTTGATGACGGTAAGAGAAGCATATTAATTTGTCGGATTATCTTCACTGTAATTTTCAGCGAGTTATAATAACTCCTCTAGTGGGGCTAATTTAACTCCTTACAGTGGAGTTATTTTTCGTGGAGTTACTTTAACTCCAAAAACGAGTTTGAAAGAACTCTTTTTCAGGAGTAAAAGTGACCCCAGATATTGAGGAGTTAAAATAACCCCAAAAAAGGAGTTATCCTGTACCTAAAATTTTTACTCCACTTTCAGAGTTAAATTAACTCCAAAAAGAGTAAAAACAACCCATGTAAGGGGTACAAGTAACCCCATTTCGGAGTAATTTTAACTCCAGACTAGGAGTAAAAAGAACTGTTTTTCAGGAGTAAAAATGACCCCAAATTCGGAGTTAAATTAGGAGTTAAAATAACCCCAAAAAAGGGGTTATCCTGTACCTAAAATTTTTACTCCATTTTTGGAGTTATAATAACTCCCTAAAAATTACGGTGTTGTGAAAGTCTTCCTAGAGTCCGTTTAAGACTCCGACTTCTTAAGTCCATCTCTTTCCCTGGCATTTAGATCCTTAAGATATTTTGACTGCTTAAGTATTCTCCTTAGAAAATTCTCAGAGGTATTTAGTAACTGCGTGGACTGATATAGCTACTCAAGAAACAGAAATGTACAGAGGAGATTTATTTTGGGCGTGGACATTGTGAAAACGTTGAATGAAGTCGTAACGGGGTTTATCTGGAAGGTGTACGAAACGGACATTCTAATATTTTTATTGAACTTTTTGCAGATCAAGTAACACAAGAGGAGTTTAAAACACTATCTACTGCTGCCATGGATCAATACATGAATAACATAAAAGAAACGCACCCAGCACATAGAGAGAGGTTTAGTAACCAGGCCTGGTTGTTACAAGGGAAGTTTGCTGATGACGTATTACGACGTTTAAGGAAGAGGTAAGCTCGCCTGGCTGTTAAAACAGATTTTCAACGGTACAATTGAGGCCAACTGCTTACTCCACCGCAACCCCCTCGTCAAGCCAGAGCCACCATCAGTGATTTAAAGGGGCTGTGCCACGGTAGTCCAGTTCATTTTGTTTACTTGCCAATTACTCTACCTCAATCGCTATGGAATTACAGGCAAATAACAAAATCAGAGATCCGAGACAAACAAATATGTCTTGAAGTTGCAAACAGCAGGGATCAACTTTGAAAACCTGTTAGGCTGAACAGTTTTCAAAAAACCTAATTTCAATCCGTTTCAATCTTCTTCAGTTTTGCTCATCCGTGGCATCTGTTGTTTCTGTTTTGTTACTTTAACCTTCCTTTAAAGTTTTAAGCGGTTATTTTTATGTTTCTCTTAATTTAACGGGCATTTTGTAATTTCCTAATTTGGCTGAATTTCGTGACACAGCTCCTTTAAATAATTCAAGTACATGCTTTACTTTCTTTTAACAGAATCACTAAGCTGACAAGACTTTCAGATCGAACAATTCGCGGTGGTGAACCTCTCCAGGTATAAATATCTATTCTTATGTTAGCAATTAATTATATTAGCAATTTATACTGATTAAAAGGATAATAACCTCGACAGCCAAACTCATGGCTGTTGTAATCTTTTTAATAAAAGTGAACGTAGTCTGCCAATTGTTGAAAATTGACTAAAAAAAAAAAGGATTGTTGCAAACTCTGTGGAGAAGTTCATTCGACCCTTAGTGGATATTCTTTCTTCGATCTGCCCTTCACTCACCTTGCTTAACCAATAGGTGCCATTTTGAGTCATATGTTTTTCGGATTTCACCCTACTTACCAGGTGGTGAAGTATGATAGAAATGGTCATTACAATGCGCACTACGACAGTCAGCAAGTGGGGAACATATCGCATATAAAGTGCTGTCATTTGGACCTATCTCTATTGCCAAATTGCAGAGTTTGCAGGTAAACCTGTTTCGTTAGCTTTTAATAGCTTCTGTGAATTTTCACTCAATTCTGGCTAAATTCCAAGTGACTGAAACAAAACATAACTGAAGAGGAGAGATTTCGAAATAAACTGTGGACTGGGAGAATCTCCACCTACCTCTCCCATAACCCAACATTTTACTTTAGGTGATAGGTTAGTGTTAATTTTGGGTTGGGGGAAGGGTAGGTCGGGAGATTTCCTGAACCATAACGATCTAAACATCTCCAATTGCACCATGCACCTCACACACATCTTCTTCCTGTGCAACCGAGTGTTGAGTTTGCAGTTTAAAAGGAAATCATTTAGTAATACATTTTTTTCCTTTTCAGATATGCTACTATCCTGTATTATCTAAATGACATTGAAGATGGAGGAGAAACAGCTTTCCCTGTGGTGGATAATGCCACTTTTGATAAACAGGTTTAACATAAATACATGTAAAAATCAAGTACCCTATAACCTTTATTTGCCTGTGGAATGCCTCGTAAAATGCTGATCGCGCTTAAGCTTGTTTCCCGCTTGCAACGATGCATGCAATGAGACGCATAATTATGTGACACACTTAAGCAATACCATGACCAGCCGTCTCTGTTTTGAAAATGAAGTAAAAGTAATTGTTATATTCCTAGAATTTCACTCAACTAAACAGGGACTGCCATTGGTTGATTCTTGGTCACGTGGCCTTGACTAAAATCAAATGTATCCCGATCGTGATACACAATGTATCCCGCTCGGGATACATTGCAGCACGTGATCAAAGCATGGTGGAAAGTGGCGTGACAGAAGGCAGGAAAAACACCGCCAGGTCCTGCCGGTTTTCTTTTTCGTGAATGAACACAACAACACAATCACGAAGCCTCAAGCTAAAAAGCAACCATTTTTAAAGTTATCAAAGAAGTTCCCAGTCGAACAAAAACAGCAGCTAGTGGAGGAAAAAGATGCAGATGATATAAGGAAAGTACTTTTGTTTGTAAATCATTCATTCAGTGGTTTTGAGAATTAAATTTGTGTTGTTATAAGTACCGAGTCGACTGTTTTGGTTCGTTTTGGTTCGCTCCGGTTATTCTTTTGTTGCTGTTGAAGTGAAAGTTCTAGAAATAAAACAAAACACTTAATGTCAGATCCCTCGGGAAACCAGTTAGTTTTGTTTTCCCTCGAGTCCTGATGTTTCCCTCGGTCCGTGTGGTTTTCGTCCATTTGATTTTGATTCCAAATTGAAAATTGAAAATCAAAAATTCACGATCGTGATTTTCAATATTTGATTCCTCAAGAATTGAAAATCACAAATTTAAAATCTCAATTGTCAATTTTTGTTTCTAAGAAACATAAAACTGAAAAACAATTTTCAATGTTTTGAAAATCAAAAATTGAAAATTGAAAATGGTTAGTTGGTGGATTATAATTCTTGTTTTTAAGGAAAAGGAAAACTAAACGATAATCTTCAATTTTGAGATTTTTGCTTGGTACCGAAGTTAAAATTGTATTTTCAATTTTCTATTCCATAGATTCCAGCTTATTAAAAATTCAAACTTGACAAAGCTATTCATGTGTAACGAAACTGCGGGAAACAGTATCAATGATGATGAAATCCGAAATGTAAATCGTTTTTTGATTTTCGTAGTCGAGAAAAACAAAAATTGAAAACAGACCATATATAACTGTGACGGGTGGGGGAGGGTAAAACCGGAAGTGGCACGACTGCAAACAAGATGGCGGTCGTCTTGTAGTGAAGGAGTGTTCTTTGTTTTCGTCGAGCCGTCTCTGGGGGAAATGTAACGCCAACAGCAATCTAAAGCTTGCTGAGACGTTTTCAAAGAAATGATCTGCATGTTCTTTCATTGATAAGTATGCTTTTGTTGTAACCTTGCAGCATTATACGTACGCAACGCAGCCGGATAGAGCGTTCCAGATCGGCTGCGAACTGTAAACCGAGGCCGTACTGCGGACTGCGGACTACGGACCACGGACTGCGGACTGGGTATATATAAAATACGGACCAGGTATAAAATGCGAACTACGTGCTATTTTTTTAGTCTGATAGTATTGTCACTCGACCCTAACCATGTATAACTCCTTTCACGTTGTTGTTAAATTGAAGGAATTTTCGCTCTAACAAGAAAATCTTTTAAGATAAGAACCAATGGGGGGCGTGGGGATATATTTGCGCGAGTGTGTTTTTGCTCGTAATAAGGTGCAAGTGTTTCATTAGAATCTTTTTGAGATTTTGGGTTTATTTGATAAAGCCGCTTTGCGCGATTCGAAGCGCAGTTCGGCTAGGATTGTTTCCACAAGGTCGTGAGGGTAGCCTCGTTCTGTAAGGCGAGTTAAAAACTCTTTCTTCTTTAACTCCAGTTATCGGGAATTATTCCTTAACCGAGTTCGTTTTGAGTAAGTGCAAGGCTATTCCGTATACGAAGCCCTTTTTAACGATGACAGGGTAAAATAAGGAGAAATTCGCATCTTAAAACGTTTCTGTCGGCTTAAATAATGTGTTTGAATCGAATGAATCTTGATCCTTTAAAAACTTCAGTGGTCAAGGAAAACAATTTGTTTTGATGACAGTTCGTCAGTGTAAATTTTATTGTTGTGTGGAAAGAGTTCGCGAAATCAATAAAGTTGTTGATTTCGGACTCAGAAAGAGTCCACACTGAGAATGTGTCATCAATAAATTTCTTCCAGCCGGAGAAATGGCTGTAAGGGCTCGCATGTAGTAGTTGTTTCTCAACGTGAGCCATGAAAATGACCGAGAAAGCAACCGCGATTTTGGTGGCCATTGTAATGCCGTGAGTCTGTACGTAGTGTTTGTCGGTGAATTTGACTTAGTTTTCTGTTAAGATCACCCGCATTAAGTCTCCCAAATATGAAGTAAGGATAGGTAACTTTGACTGATAATGTTCTTCGTAATGGTGACAGACGATGTCGATTCCCTCTTCCTGGAAAATGCTAGGGCAGAGACAACACACGTTTAGCGTAGCTTAAATTGCTTCATCTGGAAGAGGCGTGTTTTCAATGATATCACTTTTGTGTGCAGTGTCTTCGACGTAAGAATCTTGTTTTTGCGCGATTGGCCTGGTTAAATCGAGTCCACAAAACTAGAAATGTGTTCTTTGGGACCACCGCTACCAGAGACGATTGGTCTGCCGGCAGGAATAGTTTTATGTGTTTGGTCAGCGTGTAAAACACTGGTATTCTTGGTGATTTTGGCCAAAACTGAGCCACTTGTAAGTCATTTGAGCAATATGCTCGTTTGTGAACAGAGCGTTTATAGTTGATATCTCTTTTGTGGCTGTTTCGGATACAATCGGTTAATGTTCATCTTAGATTTCCAAAACCGGTCCTGCTATTAAAGTTTATTTAAACAGTTCTTATCAAGACTCTGCGGCTACCATTGATTGCTAAAGCCTAAATCCCTTCACTTTAACAACAACAAAGGAGTTATACACGGTTAGGGTCGAGTGACAAAAGTTCGTTTACGCAACAGGACGACAGAAAGAAGAGGACGGCAAAAGGATTGTGTGTGACAAACTTGACAGGGCTATAAATTGCGTGTTTTTCGTGACCTTCACTTCACATTACTGTTTTTTGGTCTTTCACTCTGTTTAAAGGAAGGTGATGTTTGTGGGAAAGTTTTTTCAAACAAAATTATTGTCACTCTTATCACACAAGGTTTGACGTCTTCTTTCCTCTCCCGTCCTGTTGCGTAAGTTGACTAATTACCATTACACTAAGACATAATACGTGGTTCGCATTTTATAACTGGTCCGTGTTTTACATATACCCAGTCCGCTGTCCGCAGTCCGCAGTCCGCAGTCCACAGTCCGCAGTCCACAGTCGGCGGTCTCTCTTTTATACGGCCCGATCTGAAACGCTTTACCCTGCGTAGAGTAATGCTGCAAGGTTACAACGAAAGCATATTTATCAGTGAAAAAATATTCAGCTTAATTCTTTGAAAACGTGTCGGCCATGATACAGGCAGGCTTTGGCTTCCTGTTGGCGTAACATTTCCGCTAGAGACAGCTTGACGAAGACACGCAACACGAAACACTCCTTCACTGCAAGGCGACCGCCATCTTGTTTGCAGTGGCGCCACTTCCGCTTTTATCCTCCCCTCCCATCACAGGTATTTTTAGTCGGTTGGCAATTTTTGTTTTTCATAAATAGGAAAATCAAAAAACGATTTTCATTTTGGATTTCACCAGCATTAATTCTTCTTTACACATGAAATTGCTTTGTCAAGTTTGAATTTTTAATAAGCTTGAATTTAGGGAATAGGAAATTGAAAATATAATTTTAACTTCGGTACCAAGCAAAAATCTCAAAATTGAAGATTATCGTTTAGTTTTCCTTTTCCTTAAAAACAAGAAATAAAAACCACCAACTGACCATTTTCAATTTTCAATTTTTGATTTTCAAAACATTGAAAATTGTTTTTCAATTTTATGTTTCTTAGAAACAAAAATTGACGATTGAGATTGTAAATTTGTGATTTTCAATTCTTGAGGAATCAAACATTGAAAATCACGATTGGGAATTTTTGATTTTCAATTTTCAGTTTGGAATCAAAATCAAATGGACGAAAACCACACGGACCTCCCTCGACTTCGTCTCGGGAAACATCAGGACTCTCGGGAAAACAAAACTAACTGTTTCCCTTGGGATCTGACATTAAGTGTATAAAATACCCATGACAGAAAGGGTAGACTTTACTCACAGTAGAAATCCCGTTACATGAACCAAACAAACATCTTTAGAGAGTCTCAAGTTAATATAGTCACGACTGCGAGATCAAATAGAACTTAAGGGATCGACAATGAGATTTCTCATATTACGATTACGATACAGATGTTCAGTGCTAGAGATAGCCTGTGCAGCTGTTGTGCAGCTGGCGGTATTGTGTGATTAAAGTTTTGGCGGCGGAGCCGCGATCCAAAAAAAGGAGTGGGGACGAGGCGTTTGGTATTTCTCGCAAATCTCTCTCGACTAGTACACAATACCGCCAGCTACGCAGGCTATGCTAGAGATTTTTATCTTGTCAACAAGATCATTTCTGTTTTTGGAGCAAGAAATTTTTTTCGGCTCCCCAATTCTTAGTAATCGTCTGCATTACTTTTTTGCAAATGCATCTTGATGGAAACTTAACCTGAACTACCATCAATTTGAAATTTAAACAGTTTTCTCAGGCGAACAAACGAGGTCAGACACCCTTATTGAGAAACTGACTGCTGTGATTAGCTGATTTTGTAATTGGTTAGCCCGAAGTCGGGTTTCCTGTACTGTTAGAAACCAATAACCCCATAATCGCATGACCTTTCTTTGGAGCTCCGTTTTTCAAACGATAAGGTGTTCTATGACTTTGTGGATCATCTTTCTCTTATTTGCCAGACATACATCGATTCCCTGAAAGAGGACAAGTTCAATCTAATGCAGTACTGTCATGATGGAAACTTAGTTGTAGCACCGAAGCGAGGCAAAGCGATCATGTGGTACAATCACTTTGTGGACGAAGAGACCGGCTGGATGGGTGAAATGGACGAATACTCCCTGCATGGCGGCTGTGGGGTGTGGTCTGGAGTCAAATGGATCGCCAACAATTGGATTACTTCTGCTGATGCATTGTGGGCTCACTTAAAAAGTGATCACGATGTCGATTAATGGCAACTTCGTTTTCCGCGCTTTTCTCATGTTAATTGGGAGAAACGTGGTTAGGATAATGTCTTAGATATCCACTGTTGCGAGAAAGACGAAACATGACGTAGAACAAGCACGATTTTTGTTTCTATGGAGAGCTCCTCAATTTCAAGGACGGTTTCAGAAGTTTCATAAAAAGCAGACAATTTCTAGTTTTTAAAGGGACTTGATCGCCATTTGTTAGGTTTTGACTCACGTAGTGATAAGATTTTCACCGGCAGGCATGACGCGATGCAAATCAGTCTTTGATGGCCTATTCGGTTAACCTAGTATGCAACAGATTAGGAGAAATACATACGAACATACTATAACTACGGAATTTAAATTACGCAGAGAATAACCTGAGGATATATCCAGAGAGAACTAAAGCCCAACATAAACAGGTCTGACTTCCTCCACCCCCCAACCTACAGCTCAAAAACATGAAAAACAACAACAACAACAACAACAACTGGAAAGTTGTCGTCAGCCAGTATTGAAAAACGTCAAGGCACTTGTTTCAGAATAGTTTTGTTCGCTGATGTTAAGTGAGTTTTAATACTTTTTATAGCGAAGTGTTGCTATTTAGCGCATTTATAATGCGGAGGGCCGTACCACTGTAAGGTTCGCAGTTACAACTGTCTTTCTAACACTAGTATTTCTCTTAAACAATAAACATGAATTTTGCTGATCATCGTCGAGCTCTCAAAGGCCTCGGTTAAGCTATTGTTTATTTATTTCCTCGTGCCACTCCCGCTCAATACCCCAGTCAATATGCGTCCACTGAAATCGACATTACGCTGATTTAGCAACAGAACGGGAACGTCAGTTGACGACGGCTCGGGCAAATCGCACAACTGGCTTGACCAATGGCAGAGCGGCAAATTGGGCACCGGAAGTCGTGTTTAGTCTTTTCCACACGCTTTCCCGTCTAAACCAGCCTTTCTATTCTGGTCCCACTCCAAGAACAGATGGAGTCGGGTTTGGACTCATCAACGTATCACTCAGCTATTCTTGGTGATACACTCTGATATTGAAACGTCTTCCACGTGCATTTCTTCCAAATTTTCATTACCAGGGTGGGAGTTGCCAAGGTTTGTCAGTCATAACCAAGAAATCATAGAAATTGATTCCGATCATGTTATTGATACAAATCAATGGAGCAATCAGTGTATAAAAGTTTTAAGTTTTATTCCTCCACCTGGAAGAGGCACGACCCAGGACAAGAGGTTTGCTAAAACAATGAATAACTAGCAGACTTACTTTTCTTCACTTCGGTTTATTTTTCTCTTTGGTCTTAAAATATATTCTTACATCACCACGGATGTCTTATTCTCTTTTCTTATTTCAAGTATTGCTCCTTTCGTGAACAAGTCGTTCTAATCTGAGCAATTGTTTTCCAGTACAACTTCGCCGCAGGACCAAGACTTTATTGAAGTACAAAATAAGGTTCGCAGCTATTCGAGCAGTTCAAGATTGAGAATGCAAGCAGCAGTACACTTTCTTAAACCTTTCACAATCGAGGAACCAAAAATTGGCAATTCCTACAGAAAATACGTTCAACCACACAATCTGACAGTGTAAGTGAGTAATCGTTTTTATCGATATTATCGGGTGGGTTCCCTCTGATCCAACTTGTCCAGTCATAACAAAAATGAGAGGTACAACGACTGATAATTTAGCTGAGAATATTTTTCATGGCAGCTTTCAATTCTGGGAACTTGAACCTATACCCCATCTCCAGTGTTCGTTTGGGAATAACCTTCTGTCCTTCCAAGAGAATTTTGGCGCGCTCGGTACCGAACATTATATTTAATGCAAATGAAGGAGCCGGAATCAAGGTGGGTCTCCACAGGACGCTTCCATACTCCTTGGTGAAGCGCTCGTTTGTTACAATTTCAGGTGCCACTGCGTTCAATACACCGGTCACGTGATCGTTGTCGAGGGAGTGTGTGATTATTCCGGTCATATCGTCGATGTGAATCCAAGGAAAATGTTGCTTACCGCTTCCAATCACACCTGGGAGAAAATATTAGTTAGTTGAATTTGATTGGGTGGGTATTTAAAGTGCTGATTTCAAAGATATGTTTCTTTTAGAGTTTTGGGTCTTTCCCTATTGCCTGATGATTGTCCAGTATACCCGCACTGAAACGGGCCGACGGCGACGACAACTTTAAAAAACAATTGTTTTTTAAGTAAAACAACAGTTCTGCACTTGCATCACGCTTTCTACGTAGTATGTTTATTTTTTGGCGTCAACTGCGCGACTTAAACGTGAAACTTGCCAATATGACGCTTTATGGTGGGCGTGGCCGTGAAGATAAGACGACAAATATTCTTTTTTTTTTCTGAACCTGGATAAACTCCTTTAGAGTTCAACTCCAGGAAAAATGGCCTACATTCGGCAAATTGAGCGGGTCCAAATAGAGCTCTGAAAGGACGGCAGATTAATTTTTTTGGCGACGTTTTCACTGCCCATGAAGGCGGGTCGTCGCTAATGTTGGACACGACTGTATTGCCTTGGTAAAAGGAGATACCAAAGATTGCCATGTCTTTACTAGAGTGTAGGATGATTAGAACGATCAAGGAAGTACTTTACCGCCGCAGGTCTGAAACAAACTCTTCAGGATTAAGAATCTCTGACAGTTATTTTTAGTGAAGCACTCTTCTGATAGTCATGATACCGTATATGGCTGTCATGAACCTACACTAACCCTTAACTCGATTCGCCTGTTGTATTTTTGTCGTTCTTTGGCTTAAAAAAAGGAACAATCATGAAAAGACAGTGACTACACATGTAGAATCCAAGCTTAACTAGAACAACATCTCTGACAAGTATGTATGTTGTGGTTCAATTTGTCCTTTGTTTAATTTTTATCTTCCTTTGTTCTAAACTCATTATCACACATAACCGTGCCCCAAAACAAAGGGAAATAAAAATTAAACCAAGGATAAGATTAAACCACAATACGGTCACTGTGTCGTAGAGTGTTGTATGTTAACAGGTGAATCGACTTAAGTGCGGGTGAAACGTGATCAGGCAAATCGACTTTGGGTTGAAACGACCGCAATTCTCCTAATCGTGTACTGTACATTGTACCTCCAAGTCCAAACCAAAAAGGCCAAATTGTCTGTTGTATAACTCCTCCACTTCGGCCCAGCACCACCCCAATCCGTAAGGTAACCAGTCTGGTTGTACAGTTGTCAGGAAGTTTAGCACTGTTCTCCCAGTCTTTACAAAGTCTTGTCAGTGTGTCAGCAGAGCTGGGGGGGAAATCCTCAGTGTACTCCTCAGTCTCACTTGCAGGATAATAACCTGAAAAGAGAAAGGAAAGTTAATGCATGAAACAACAGATTGAGAAAAGCGAGTGACGGTTAAGATGAAAAATAACCTAGACTGTAAAGTAGCCCATATTTTTGAGAGGGTTAAGAACTTGTGTGGAGTCGAATGAAAGGTCTGGAGAGAGAATGAAAACGAGGTGTCTGACTGGGGAGAGACGTGAAACCATTTGCAATGAGGACCAGAAATCTCGTCTGAGCCCCAGAGATTTGCCACCCCTTAGACATCATATAAGAAGTAGATTCCAAACAGTCTCTTATATAATCGAAGCACCACACGTATCCAAGCGAGTGGTGAGCTAGCCACTATGCAAATGTTCTTAGGGGTTCATTTGTCACTCGTACCTGTCCCACATTGGGGAGAAGAACACGTGACAAGTAAACCCCTTTGAATGTCTACGTGGGAGGCTACGTAGTTGCAACAGACGGTAGAAATGAGGGCATTAGCCTACGCATAAAAAACCCTAGTTCCTGCTACTTCACAAAGCTGTGAAGACAATTAAAAATAACAATTTGGCATCCTTAAAACGTGGAAAAGGAATAAGCCTACCAACAGCTGAAGATGTGACAAAAACTTTAGGTGGAACTGCTGCATCTGCTATTTTCGAGGCCAATGTCTGTGTTGTCTCGATGCGACTTTGCCTTAATTCCTGTAAAAAAGTTTCATTCCACCTGTTGAAAAAATAATGAAGTCAATGAATAAAAGTCCAAAGTGAAGGTCTATAATTTTAGATTTTGACTCTCAGGTGGATGCTATAAAAATTGGTATTTAACAGCAACCAAAACAGTTACGTAGTTTTTTAGTTTTAAGGCCATTTACACCCCGCACAATGCTAGGAGGTTGGGAATGAAACTGGGGGTGTTCAGCCTGAGTCTTTTTAATCCTGAGTCTATATTCATCCTACAGAAACACATAAACATTTCCCCTAAGTACACCTTGTTTGACCCCCTCCCCCAAATTATGGAAAACTGTTGTCTCCCAGATGTATTTCTCCTTGGTATTCCAGTTGTTCCAAAAGAAATTGAAGACAATGCCTTTGCAAGTTTTTTGGTGGGGAGTCAAACAAGGTGAATTATATCTGGGAATGCAGTTTTTTAAAATTATACCTAGTCTAAGTGAAACTTTCAATTTAAACAAGTTTTAATATCATAAACACAGTGACCCAACAGCAGTTAATAGTTATTTTCTTACCTTTTAAGAGGATTAAGAATGTTCTTGCCAGCAAGATTGACCACAGCCTCACATTCAGGCAAAGGTGACTTGGAAATTTCATTCTATTTAAGGAAAAGACAGAGAAATTGCCAAGGTTGGCGAGTTACAATAAATTAAGTTCTACCTAAATAAAGTTAAACCTTTGTGGCCACCTCCCACTGAGAGCCCATTCTCTCCTAATTGAATTCTAAAATTTACTCTGTCAAATCATGGGCCGCACTCAGCCACCCAGTCACCTGTCCTATTAAAACAATCCTTATTCCTTTCAGGACATGGCATAACATTATATATTAATTTTCCTTTTGACTTCAGAAGTGACCACAATGTCACTAATATTCCTTACCCAGTACTTAAACATTCTTTAAAAAACATACTGTACAGTGTACTTTCTGTAGTGACTTTCTTTTCACTCATGGTAGCAAACTGATCTGTCAATATTTTAGATTACTAAAAGATATTTTTGGTGTTATTTTGATGTCCAGCTTTTAGATCTTTTAATTGCTATTAAAATATCATGATTTGACTACAGCTGTTTCGAGAGAGGTTGTCGGAAAAAGTGCACGTGACAATCCCGAAAGGTATTGTGGGTGGTTTTGAGTTCAGTGTTCTTCAAAGACATTTGAAAAAATGACTACAGCTGTTTCGAGAGAGGTTGTTGGAAAAAGTGCACGTGACAATCCCGAAAGGTATTGTGGGTGGTTTTGAGTTCAGTGTTCTTCAAAGACATTTGAAAAAATGGTACGAGAGGCCATGGACTTATGTTTGAAAGTGCTAAACGAAAGCAACAAAGCTAAGTTCGACAGCTACAGTGTCAGGAACAGTGTATTGATCATATCCCATGTTACCTTTGGGGATTGTCGTGTGCACATTTTTCTCCGACAACCTTTCTCAAAATAGCTGTATAATCAAGCTGGAAGCAACCAGTTACTATAGGCTTGATATAAACTTAGGTCAGCCAGTCATCGACAGGAAGTTTAACTGACCAAAAATACTATATCTGAATACTTCTTCGGTTTGCTACTTTGGTCTTCGGAATAAACTGACCCATGTGATCCTTCCAGGTGCTTGAGTTCTTGAGATTACTGTGACCTCATGTCCTGCACGTTTCAAGGTGTCTACCAAAGCTTTGCCTATAAATCCTGTTCCACCCCCTGGAAGGAACATGTTCATGTAATTTATGCCTTACAGTATTTAAATAACCATGTCCTTTACATGTACCGATAACACACCAATTTTTCGATTTACATTATTAAAATTCACACTTGGCTTCAAGGCTTGAGGGAATAAAACAAAAGAAATCATCTTGAGGCTCAGCAAAGAATAATAGAGAGTTTTAGATCCGAGTTTACCGCGAACCTCTAACCGCGGTTTGCGGTTACCCGTTTGCGGTTCGACGTTCAAACATAATTCGATTTAGATTGGCGGTGGATTAAATTACGGCAGCCATGATCAGCAGCCATGAATGGCACTTGTTTTCAAGATCCAATAGGATTTATCAAATTTAGCATTTCGCCCGAATTTGTGCCTCTGTTAATGGATTAAGACTTGCTCCAAAAGATTTTTGTATCATTACGTGGGATGAAACAAGAATTATACACTAAAATCTTCCAGGTAAATGACATACGTGAAAACCTACCTCCCCACGTTGAAAACGCACGTCGTAAACCTCAAACGTGACGTGAAAGACTTGTCACGTGACCTCCAGCAGTTAGAGGTTTGCGGTAAACTCGGATCTAAAACTCTCTAATACATTTCTTTTGCTTTATTCCCCCAAGACTCGGAGCCAAGTATGAATTTTAATATATCGGAATTGGTCTATTATAAGTGCTATCTGTAACCATGCATGGCCCTCCACTATGAGTATCACTGTAGCACTTACAATCAGTGTTTTCCAGAAAACTCCAGTGACTGGCAAATATCATTGCCTAGGACTTCATCATGAACACGCAAGCTACTCACAGAAAAAAGATTCCCTAATTAAGGAGGATAATACATAATTATTGGTTGTATTCAGGGCTGTGCTCCAGCAGTTTCTCGGATATGCTGAAGTGTTACGTAATAATTATCCTAACGTTACGAGAATATTGGAAACTTTACAAACCTACAAGAATGCGCATCTTTTCTGTTCTTGAGGACAAAATACAGTAATCTGGATTTTATAAAATCTGTAGCCGCGCCGAGGATATTTCAATTTTAAAATTGAGAACTTGTATGTGTTGATAATGAAAAGTATGGCGCGGAAACATAATTCAGGGGACTGGGGAGGGAGTAGCATAATGAGCATGCTTTGCAACAGAAACCGCATGATCAAACATTTCCAAAATGGCGCGGCAACCGAAAGTGAAAGTGGCAGAAAGTGGCACAAATGGCACGGTTGAAAAATTGGATTGTGTGTGCAAGTAAAGCGTTTTGAGCTTTGTTTATCACTGAAAAATAATTGGCAACAGAAGAATAGCCAGTAGACTAAATAATTTTTATGGCAATGAGGACAAAAGTGGAAAGAATACACGAGTTTTGCAGCGCGGTTCAGGTTTCTTCCAGCTGACAATTATTTGCTTTCGCGGAATCTTTGGCATTTTCTCGAGCCATGGATGGACCCGCCTCCTTTGCAGTTGAGGATGGAGGTATGCTTTATTTAACAGTAGTATTTCATGTTAATGAATTGGTTAAGAATTTCGCACGTAAACAGCTGTTTGTGAATTGTTCATGTGAAATCGTATTATTATAAGGGATTACTCTCCCACACCCTTGATCTGTTAGAATAGACGGAAGAATAGAGGGGGGTCCTTTGGATTGCATAGAATACATAGACTTACAGTGCAGCAGTAGAGCTGATAACACTACTTGTTATCACTTGTCCCCACTTTCCTTGACTAGTAAATTAACTTAACTAAATAGTTTGGACTTCTAGAACAGTATCAACTAGGGTATTTCGGCCTTCCACTGACATCGTAGACGGTGTATTAAAGGTATATTTTTTCCGTTTTCTGATTGCCTGCCTATTATAAATATCTTTTTAGAAGGAAGACCATTTAGTGAGATATATGCTCGGCAGTTAATCTCAAAGATAAGTAGAGAGGAACTTGAAGATAAATATCTCAGGCTTCAAGAAGATAACCAGGTAAATAATGTTTACTCATATGTTTTTTTTTTATTGTGCATGTTCATGGCTCCATGGCTGTCTTTATAACTATAGTATCTGGCAGCTGGCTTGTTTATCCAGGTACTGCAGTATAATAACCTCTGGCCTACTCTTAGTTGGAAAGTGAGTCCAACCTAAACATAGGAGGATTCATGTGATGAATGACTGGCTACTTGTACTTTCCATGAGAGACCAGTTAAAACGTTAATGACAACCCTACCCTCTGTCCCCAATTCAAAAACCCACACACATTGAAGACGTATAGATAGTGACTATGACATTGTTTTACTATACAGGAACTGAAGAAGTATGCAAGAAAGCAGGAGGAAAAGATTAAAAAGTAAAGGAACTGCAGTTTATATATTCTGTACCAAGGCTGTGCTCTAGCAGGTCCCAGTGGCTGTTCTGGCACCTAGCTCCTGGGTGACTAGAAAATCTTTATTTTTTCATAAAAACCATAGTGCTGGATACCCTGGATTGCACTGGTTCAGAGCAATGGGCTTCCTTCAATTTTTTTTAGAACACAGCCTTTGTACATTTTTTTAAACAATGTTTTTGAACTATCTGATTTGCTGCGTAACGTTTTTAATGTACAGTAATAATTTGAGTAAAAATTAAAACATGTAACTCTGTGACATTGTTTTTGAAGGATGGCAACTAAACTTCTTCGCTTGGTTCATGACAAGAAGAAAGAGGCTATGGAGGGAGGTACTTTATAAAGTCACCTGTAACTTAATTTTAATATTTCCTGTGTTAATTGGCCTGTACACCACCTTTGTTGCTGCACAGTATTTTGTTTTGTTTATTTTTTAAGCTCATTGTTTTAAAATTAAACAGTGCTGATCAAACAGTTTCTTTATATGATGTGCCTGGCACTGTCTGTCATGACTATAAATCTTCATAGTAAACCACAATCATGTGAATGATGTTTCAGTTGCCCTTTGTGATTTAGTGTTTTTTTCACTTTCTTTAAAATCATACTAATTATTATGATTTTATTGTCAGTAGTTTCTGATGCACGAGATGTGGATTCAAAAGAGAAGATTGCCGACTTGGAAACAAAGATTGTGGAACTTGGGAAACAAAATGCTGGACTGAAAAACAAGGTACCGTATTATGATTTTTCTGTTCACTGTTTCTGAGGATTTCCCAGAATTAGCTGACCAAAATGTAATCTTGGACAGTAAACAACTTTAAGATTGTTAAGCTGTCATGTCAACTGCATTAAATAGCTGAACCATAAAATTTATATGCCATGAATATATTATAATGTACAATAATGTAACTACTTCTCTGTTTTCACTGTCACGTTATCAAAATTATAAAATGCAAACTATCGAATACAGAATTAACTCCAGAATATGGGAAATGAAAGAAGATAAATATGCAATTTAAGCCTTGCTAAGAATCAAGACTGTGTGACATTTTTATATGTGAGATATTTGGAAAAGAGGTTTACCCAAATGTACAAAGATTTGTATGGAGATGCCATGTTGGTGTCCCTTTGAGGGGTACAAATGTGGTGGCTAGGAAACCAACAGAAACATCTGTCTTTCAGTTTTCCTACAAAAGCATGAATTCATTGCTTGAGAAACTCACAAAGATTAAAGTAATATTATTCTGAGACAAGGGAAGTTTAGATTGCAAAATCTCAAAAAATTGATGATGTTTTTATTAACCCACATAAGAGCTCTCCTGGCCCAAGCTAAATGCTGTATCACACAAAAGCTTGGAAATTTGAGCGTCCTCTATTGCAAAACAAAGAACCCTTTCAAACCGAATATGAATGAATAAGGTTGTTTCGCTGCTGAAATGCCTCATGAAAGTAGAAACTCAGAAGAATCAATAGTTTCTTAGTAGAGCATAATAATCACCCAACTTCTAAGATAGGGGCCTGGGTACTACTCTGTCATCCCACGTTGCTCTCCTTTAGTTTCCTTGTCATTCTGTAACAAGAATCAGTAACATGGCATGTACTTGTGAAATGGATGAACTCCTATCTACTTAGTTTGAATTTTGTTGATGTCATGTGAAAATGGAGAATTAATTGTACTAGTTAGTTTCCGACCTTCATAATGTTCATGTACTTCACTACAGTCATAATAGTCATTTTTCCCCTATTTTTTTTTAGCTCATGGTTGCCAAGCAACAGCTTCAGACTCATGGAAAACGTGCAACTCCCTATGATCATGTTAAACCTCGTGTACAAACAGTAAGAAATAATAATTAATAATTTTTTGAATGGTTTCAAGTCAGTCAATTTGTAATCATATTACCTTTCATGGTATTTTTAGGCTTTAGGGTGCCTAAAAGTAATGCCCCTGACTAAGAACCTGTTATCCCTTATAACCGTATGTATAACATACATACAATTCGGTTTATCTATTAGTAAGTGGTATAATTGAATTAAGCAAGACTTTGTGTTCTCAACTGTTTTTAAATTTTTTTTATGATGGTGTTTTGTCAGGGTATTCATGCAAGATCTCCCTCAGGAAATAGACTTAAAAAGGATTTGAGAGTTCAAGGCCATGACATCAAGTATGTTTATTACGCAGTCACGTACATTTTAAAACAATTTCTTGTTTTTTCTCTCCCTTTAGAAGCAGTCAGTCATTCTGTAGAATGAGGATAACATCCTCAAATGGGTCAGAGATAGACATTGTAAAATTGATTTGAATTGTCGTAATATACATGTACAATGTAGAATCATCAATGACAGTAATTATTACGTGGTATCTTAAAGCAAAATATTTTCATCTGAAAACAAATTTAATGCTTGAATTCCATAATTATAAAACTGCCTTTTAAATTTTCAGTTCAGTCAAGTTTTGGCTCAAGATGCAATAATTAATTCAAATTCATTTTGTCTTTATTATGTCTGCACAGACCTGGATCAAGAGTTCCACCTCCTTTATTACCTCAACCAAGGTAAGTAATCAAATATGCTTTGATTGCAATACTCACAAGGTTTATGATGCAAGCACTTGACAACCTTAAAATCACTTTGAACTTTTAAAATGATTTACTTTTCATTTAAAATAATTTCAATTTGTAAACTAACTTGACAACATAATTATTATTATTTTTATGTATACAGTTGAAAATTAGAAAGTAATGCATGGGGAATTACAGATTCTTTAATTATTGTAAAACGAATAAAGAATCCTTTATTTTGTTCTGTTCTGTTGTAAAGCACTTAGGAAATGGCTAGAGCACCGAAGAAGTACAATGTAGGGAGAACACTTGACTACATCTCGTGTTTCCCCCCTACACGTTTTTTTAGCTCTAGCAGCTTCATAAGTGCTTTTTATATTACAACAGAACAGAACACAATCAAGGCTTCTTTAGTTGTTAATTAAAAATAATATATTTTTGATAAATGATAAATAATAATAATAAATACTTGAATCATGTAATTCTGCAGGTATTTTGCAATTTGAACTGCCAAACTCAGGATGTAAGATTTTGCTACTTGCATCCTGGATTTGGCAGTTTCAATTTGCAGCTTTTCATGTTATGTGTCATTAAATAATCGCAAAAATAATTATACACTTGACTTGATGTTCATTTTGATAAAATAAAAGTTATTTTAAGGTGGCTCGATACAGTTTTTCAAGGTCAGTACCTCTCAAGTTTGAGCATAAACTATGTCGCCATAAACAAAGTTTTGGAAAAATTGCCACCACAGTTGTATTAGATAAAGATGAAAATTTGTTATGATCAGTGTTGCAACGGCATCGGAGTCGTCATAGCAACGGAATGACGCTATTGCCTATTTTATTTGCAGCAGTATATCTCGGCACTGGGAACTGTTCTTCGAAAATCATTTACGGGAGCTTTTTCCTCCAATAGCAGCCTTGATGTTCGTGAAGTTTAAGCAAAATCTGTAAGAGCGTTATCGAGATATTTTGGGATAATGTTTTTATTGGTGTGAAGTATATGAAATAATTCATTTTTGAACTGCGGTTGTAGATGAAAGTGAAGAATGATCATCGCAGTAAATTTTCCAATTTAAGCAATTGGAAAGCAGAAGCCTGAAAAAAGTCAGGGCTTCAACGGGATTCGAACCCGTGACCTCCGCGTTGCCGGTGCGTTGCTCTACCAACTGAGCTATGAAGCCACACATTGGGAGCGAGGTCAATTCATTGAGTTCATATCTCCCGTGAGGAGTGAAATGATGTGAAGTATATGAAATAATTCATTTTTGAACTGCGGTTGTAGATGAAAGTGAAGAATGATCATCGCAGTAAATTTTCCAATTTAAGCAACTGGAAAGAAGAAGCCTGAAAAAAATCAGGGCTTCAACGGGATAGCAATTCGTTACTTTTTTATAGGAAGTTTCGTCATTACAAGTGAAAGCCTCTAATTATTCAAGGCATTGTCTCCAAGTTTCATTTTCACGTGAACAGCAGTAACTAACAATGCATTTGAAATATGCAAAAATGCTAGCTTTTGTTGTGCACGAAAATATGAAACTTGGACACAATACCCTGAATAATGAGAGGCTCACACTTGTAAACACAAAATTTCTGCTAAAATATTGGCGAATTGTAGCCCTTATTTTACTGCCTTACAATACATCAATAATCTTGAAACTAAAAGGTCATATAAAAGGAAGGTTAATCTCAAGAATCTTAAATTTTAAAAAAAATCTATCGAGCGGTTTACAAATTATTCGCTAATTTGTTAAAGTAGACCAAAATGTTCAAAAAACTGCTAACAAGAATGCCTCGATACATACTAATTAAATCCTTCTTTCTAGCAAATGGCTGGAGCTATCTCCTTGATCTTTCACACACGTTTTTAAAAAGACTGAAACTACTATTAGGTGAAATTGCATGTCAAAAGCACTTTGTTTTCTACAGATAACAGGCGAACACCAAGATTGCCCATTTTTTACAGTATTTCTAACCACAAAATCTTTATCCCAAAATATCTCGATAACGCTCTTACAGATTTCTCTTAAACTTCACGAACATCGAGTCTGCTATTGGAGGAAAAAACTCCCGTGGGTGATTTTCGAAGAACAGTTCCCAGTGCCGAGATATACTGCTGCAAGTAAAGTAGGTAATAGCGTCAGTTCGTTGCTATGACAACTCTGATGCCATTGCAACCCTGATCATAACAAATTTTCATCTTCATCTAATACAGCTGTGGTGGCAATTTTTCCAAAACTTTGTTTCTGGCGACATAGTTTATGCTCAAATTTGGGAGGTATTGGCCATGAAAAACTGTATCGAGCCACCTTAATAGGGCTGTTCAAATACAGCATTTACAAGACTTAGTATGGCAGGTTTACAGCTTGCCTCAATCTTTAGTTCCCTTTTGTGTACAATGTAGTTTGTTTTCATTCATTCTCTACTCTACACATGGTAACAACCATGACTGTGTTAAAAATTAGATAGTGACCATTGACCAGTGACTTGAGCTTCATTAATTTTATAATATTCTTCATCATTCATACCAAAGCCAAATTAAATAGCTCTAATAATGCATCCATTGTTAGTCATTCAAAATATTTCCAATGTCAGAACGTTCTTTTTGCTGTTTCTTTGTTTGTATCAGGAAATGTCAATCCCATACTGGATGATTTTTCTTTTCAGGATTTCTTCCAATAGCCATCAGAATTCTCTGTTTTTTTTTTTGTCCAAGTTTGTGCCCCCCCCCCCCTCACCCCATCATACTTGTAAACATCTCTAAAATTTCGCTACTTGAGGAGCTGTATCTTCTTTCCAGATTCCTTGTAAGAATAATGCATTCTTTTTTTTACATTTTTCAAGGGCTAAAGATGTAATAAATCATCTGTAGTAACACCAAAGAAAATTTCTCATGGAAGTCCGAGAAAATGAATGTCATATTTCACAAGAATTGTGATTACACAAGTAAAATTCTGAAAATTTCATGTGTAGGATGTAATTTTGCAAAATTTGACATTCATTTTGCCGGGCTCTTTTAACAAATTTTTTTTGGGTGTTACTACAGCTGATTTATTGCATCTTTAGCCTTTGAAAAGTGAAAGTTTTAGCCCTTGAAAAATGAAAGAAAGAATGCAATTTACTTTAAGTTATTTTGGTACAAGATTTTTGTCCACCGAAAATCAAAATTACTCAATATCCTGGTGGATTCCATCTTCATTTGTCAATGGTGGACAGTAGAAAGAGAAACAGTGTTTGATATACTCTCCTATTGATGCCCTGTCTACTCTTTAGAAATAAACACAACGTTAATAGGAGAAGTTTATTGAAAAAATAAAATGTTTGTAGAACTCTTATATATTATTATTATTCATTCAAAATATTTCCCCGATTCTGATTGGCTAAAAGCACACGTTTAATTCACCCTAACCAGTTCTGATGACCAAATTTGGAAGAATTTTGTGTTTAACGCGGCAATGACGTCAAAAATGCAGCGTTCGTGCAGGCTAAGGCACTGTTAACCGAGAAGACCTGGGGACGAGGTTGAGTTGGTTTGGTTGTGGAAACAAAAATGGCGGTCGTCTCACTCGTTTTGAACAAGAGTAAGAACTAGGCGAAACAATAGCTAAAAACATGGCAAGACAACTTGAGGGGTGACATCTGCTATTTGGAGAATATTTGCGTAGCTGGACAAACCTAAACGTGCTCTATCGAAGATGAACTTAACATCGATGGATCGATGGAGGTAAGCATGTTTTTTTTTAAAATTAGGAATAATTTTGAATGAATAATAAAACAATTATTGAATTCGGCTTTCATATCATATGAAGAATTATGGAGATCTCAGAGGGTGTTGTCCGCATCGGCCTACGGCCTCGACTGATAACACCCTCATCAATCTCCATAATTCTTCATAAGATACTCAGCCTCATTCATTAATTGGTAATTAATTTGTTAATGGTGGACTGAGAATGGAAAGAGCAACAGTGTTTGATATACTCTCCTATTGATGCTGTGATTAATCCTTAGAATTAAGGACAACATTAATAGAAGTTTATTGAACAAATACAATGTTTGTAGAACTCTTATATGTTATTAATTTGTTAATGGTGGACTGAGAATGGAAAGAGAAACAGTGTTTGATATACTCTCCTATTGATGCTGTGATTAATCCTTAGAATTAAGCACAACATTAATAGGAGTAGTTTATTGAACAAATACAATGTTTGTAGAACTCTTATACCGGTATGTTATTAATTTGTTAATGGTGGACTGAGAATGGAAAGAGAAACAGTGTTTGATATACTCTCCTATTGATGCTGTGATTAATCCTTAGAATTAAGCACAACATTAATAGGAGTAGTTTATTGAACAAATACAATGTCTGCAGAACTCTTATAATTATGTTATTAATTTGTTAATGGTGGACTGACAATGGAAAGAGAAACAGTGTTTGATATACTCTCCTATTGATGCTGTGATTAATCCTTAGAATTAAGCACAACATTAATAGGAGTAGTTTAATGAACAAATACAATGTCTGCAGAACTCTTATAATTATGTTATTAATTTGTTAATGGTGGACTGACAATGGAAAGAGAAGCAGTGTTTGATATAATCTCCTTTTGATGCCTTGTTTAATAGGAGAAATTTATTGAACAAATAAAGTGTTTGTAGAACTCTTATATGTGGAAAGAGAAACAGTGTTTGATATAATCTCCTTTTGATGCCTTGTTTAATGGTTAGAAATACACAGCATCCTTAGGAGAAGTATATCCAACAAATAAAATGGTTGTAGAAATGTTTACTTTGTTTATTTTTTTTTTAGAAATAAACACAGCATTAAAAGTAAATTATAGTGAACAAAAAGAATGGCTGTAGAACTATAATTATTTATAAAATAACTAGTATGCACTCTCTGATTGGCTGAGAGGCTTGTTTCCTTGAGAGTATGTAAACATGGTGTTAAGTCCAGATGTTTTGCTTTGTGCGCACTATAATCATGGAAGCACAAACTTTGTAAAAGTTTTTGAGTTGAAAACTCGACAATCTTTCTTTATTTACCTATTTCCTCGTTGACTGAAACTTTGAAAATCTTTACAAACATGCTCTGTCAATTTTTTTCGCTTTAAAGCTGACATGTTAAGCGAGAAAAATCCCTATTTTGGAAAACACCTTTTTTCTAAAACAAGAACTGATTACGCGAGCAAGACTTTGTGTACAAGACTTCGGGACTGGCAAGAATTTCTCTTTTAATCAGTGTCATAACAAAGACTTTTGCATTTTTTCTTGGGAAAGTTAATTTATAAAAGCAATAGAAAACTTATCATGTATTTGCATAGCCTGATATTACTACATGGTTTGTACAATCTAGTCATCTTGAAAAGTCCTTGAATTTGGTTTAGGTCCTTGAAAAGTACTTAAAACGTCCTTGAAATTCACAACCTGTCTATGCCAGACACCTTTTTCTGTAAAATTAGATTATTTTGCCAAGGGAAATGTGGCTCATCCTAAGTGTAAGAACCTGTACAACTAACGGGCACTGTAAAAACATTTTTGTGCATGAACAATATTTTATTTCTGTTTCTTTTTTTCAAAATAATTCTATTTCTGTACCTCATGGGCAATTGCTAGTCATTTCCAGTCATTTAAATGCAAAGTCTCGGATGTGTTTTAGCAAAATTAATAGGGTGATCGAAGGGGGTCAAAGAATGCTGATTTATTAAATAAATCTTAGTCCTTAAAAACTGTAATTTGTCCTTGAAAAATCCTTGAAAAGTCCTTGAAATTTTTTTACCTGAAGTTGTATGAACCATGAAACACTTGACGTTTTCCATTGCTTGATGTGTTACATTGTACTTCTACTTCCTCTATCACTTCAACTACTACTGCCGTTACTACAGTAATTGGCTTAATGTTTAAACACAAAAAATTGTTATATAAACACTAATGAAAAACTAAACCATTTTACTTTAAAATATTTGTTTTTTGCCGAAAAAAGTGCAATTTATTATGTAGCCACAGAATCAGTGAGCTATACATGTGTGTATGTAAGTTATTTTCTTATTTTAAGCATCATCTTTTCTTGCATAAGCTCATCTGATGCATTTATATCAAAGAGGTGAATAAAAACATATAAATAATTCTTAGTAGTTGTTCCATAGATGCAATGTTGTCTTTTTTAATCAAGTATAAAATGAGTACTTCTTTAATATGTATTAAATATTATTGCTGGTAGGGAAAAATGGATTTTGTGTGTATTTTTTGGCTGGCAGATGCAGCCTACATTTGTCAATGGTGGACAATGGAAAGACAAATATTGTTTGATGTACTCTCCTTCTGATGCTTTGTTTATTTTTAAGAAATAAACAGCATCAATAGGAGAAGTATAATGAACAAAAAAATAGCTCTTAAAATAACTCATATATGTTATTAGTTTGCAGTGGTGGACAACATAATGGAAAGAGAAACAGTGTTTGATATACTCTCCTTCTGATGCTTTGTTTGATATTTAGCAATCAGTAAAACACAGCATCAATAGGAGAAGTATATCAAACAAGTATTCAAATACCTGCAAAACTCGTGTTATTAAAATTATTTGTCAATGGTGTACGGACAATGGAAAGAGAAACAGTGTTTAATATACTCTCCTATTGATGCTTTGTGTAATATTTAGCAATAAACACAGCATCAATAGGAGAAGTACATCAAACAAACCAAATAGCTCTAGATCTCATATGTTAATTTGTCAATGGTGATCTTAAAGGTACACAGAATCTCTCTTGATTGACCATTATGTTCCATCGCGTTGTCAACAGAAATGTTGACATTGAGAGAGATTTGTATTTAACTCCTATTTCCCATACCTCAAGTGATAGTAATTCTGTGTGGTTTCTGAGACCTCACTCCAGTTGTAACCAGCATGCCAATAGTTTCTTCCCATGGTCTGTTTAACACTGGAACATTGCCTGGTGATGTAGTGAATAATCAGGATAATGACACATTTAAGTCTGCCTTTCGTGACCATCTTATTAAGCAAGGAGAGTCGTAAACTAATTTTTGATTTTTATTCTATTCAATTCTACTGTATTGAATTTTTATCACAATGTTATTATTTTCGTTAAACTGATGTTATGCAATAATAATCTGCTTTATCAGTTAATAAAGTAGAAGTAGATGGTCAATGCTACACACTTTGTTCATTGGTTTTTATATAAATATAATAATTATTTTATTCTTAGTTATCTCGTAGATGAGGTGTTTTCTCTTTTAATCAAATATAAAATCAGATCAGAATTCTTTTGTAAATGTGTATAAATTATTGTCAATCATTTCTTGCGGTGGTCAGAATTTTTTGGGGGTGACAGATGTAGCCTAATTTGTCATTGGTGGACAGTGGAAAGAGGAACAGTGTTTGATATGCTCTGCCTTCTGATGCTTTGTTTATCTTTAGAAATCAACACAGCATCAAAAGCAAATTATATCGAACAAAATGAGTGTTGGTAGAACTCTTTTATGTTAACTGGTAATGCTGCATAGTTCTACTAATTTCATGGGCGGTTGTTATAATATATAATAATTATTAGGTCCTCTGGTCCTTTGGTCTTCTGCTAGTTATCGTTTTTATCAACCACTTACCCTGTCATGTTACTTCATCAAGGATTGATTTTTATGCTGACAATACAACGTTGACTTCCTGTACGATTTACAGCTCAATCGGCAGGCTAGAGCAGAACCTGAATTCTTCAGTTTCTGAAATCGCTGAATAGGCAGCTTCCAACAAACTACCAATTTATAAGGGCAAGATCAAGGCTATACTCATCACTGGCAAGCGTCTCCCCTTAAAGGTCAATAACGAGATGGCTTTAACTGTTAATGGCCCTGAGCTCGAACTCATCCCCAGTCTTAAACTGCTAGGTCTTGAAATTGACTCTGAACTCTCATTTAATTCCCATGTAGAGAAACTTTGTTAAAAGCAGTCTCAGCAAATTGGCATATTGAAAAAGATATGATGTTGCCTGCCCATGAGAGACAAAGGTTATTGTTTTATAACACTGTGATTAGATCTGTTTTGCATTATGTCAGCACAATGTGGACTAGCTGTGACAAGCAGAATCTAGGTCGTGTTTTAAAGTTACGGAAAACAGCAGCAACGGTAATTTCTGACGCTGATAATCAGGTGTCTAGTGTTAAGCTTTTTAATAGACTCCTGTAGCTTCCTTTTTGTGAAGAATCCAAAAAAGCTAAATGCTGCATTGCATACAAACGTATCAAGGGTGAAGTTGCTTATATAATTATTGAAGACTCTTTAATACTCAACAGTCATGAACATAGTCGTGCTACTAGCTATTGAAACACTTATTTTATTTGCCGGAGGTTTAATCGAATGACCGAAGGCGGTAGATCATTCCTAGTTACTACTTGTCAACTCTGAAACAGCTTAAGTCTGGAACTCAGGTTAAATTCCGTATCTATAGAATCTTTTAAGAATAATTATAGAGACAACCTTTTTAATATGCAACAGAAACTACATTATTTTATGGTTTAACATTTGATTTATGATCTGCTCTTAATTTACATCTTATTTTGTTATAATTCAGATAGACATTTTATAGTTTTATAGATAGACATTTTATAGTTTAACATACTTTTCATCATTTAGCTCTGATATTTCTATGTACCCCTTGTATGCATAGTATATTATTTTTAATATAATTTTAGATAGAGGGCCACAAGTTTATTGCTTACCTCAACTATTCTGTGGCACCCTCTGTAAAAATAAAGTGTATTTATTTATTATTATTACTATTATTATTATTATTATTATTAGTATCAAGTAATTCAGTAATTCTTTTATGTGTACACTGTATAAAGTTTTAATCCTTTCTTGTTGGATCGACTGTTGATCCCACTAGCGTGTATTTTTTGGATGGCAGTTGTATAGCCTGATTGTCAATGTTTGAAGATGGAAAGAGAAACGGTGTTTGATATACTCTCCTATTGATGCTGTGATTGTTCTTTAGAAATAAGCACAACATTAATAGGAGAAGTTTATTGAACAAATACAATCTTTGTAGAACTCTTATATGTTATTAATTTGTCAATAGTGGACTAACAATGGAAAGAGAAACAGTGTTTTATATAATCTCCTTTTGATGCCTTGTTTAATGTTTAGAAATATACACAGTATCCTTAGGAGAAGTGTGTATAGTTTGAAGATGGAAAGAGAAACAGTGTTTGATACACTCTCCTATTGATTCTGTGTTTAATCTTTGGAAATATGCACAACATTAACAGGAGAAGTATATCGAACAAATAAAAATAATGGTGGTAGAACTCTTAAATGTAAATGTTATTAATTTGTCAATTGTATACAACGGAAAGAGAAACCGTGTTTGATATACTCTGCCTTCTAATGCTTTGTTTATTTTTTAGAAATAAACACAGCATTAAAAGCAAATTGTATCAAACGAAAAAAAAGATGGCTGTAGAACTCTTTTGCGTTATTCTAAGTACTTGTACTGCTACTACCACTGTTTACCACTACAATTACTACAATTACTACAGTAATTGTTTTGTCCAGTTGCATTTATGAAAGATGGTACCCAAATCTACCATAAACTGAGTCAGTCTTCCTCAATATAGTGATTATATGATTTATGGATTAGAATGTACCAGTACTGGAATAGCTTTTGGAAGAATAAAGTTTACCTTAACCTGTGAATACAGCTGCTTGCTTGCAGTGGTACGGAGCCAGTAAATTGGCAATGTGCACACTGCATGCATTGATTTCCAGGTCATTCAGTTTTATAGGACAATAGTCCACCACAGCGTAAAATCCTTACATTATTTTTAACATGAACTTGAATTAATTAAGACAGAACTCACACTTGCTGTGGCAGATTTTTGATATACATGCAACCCATTAGTTTAATCAAAATGGATTCCCCTCGGTGAAAACAGCCGACAATTCGCGACACCACTACTGGTTTCCCCGCGAAAGGATGTCTGAGGAACGAGCGCAAAAATTCCATATTTATGACGTGTCACTACCCAGATCTGAGTGTTTCTGATTGGTTGAAGCAAATTTCCCATGCTGTACGACCAATCAGAAGCGTTGATAAGGGTAGTGACACGTCATCAGTATGGAATTTCTGCGCTCGTTCCTTCGCGCTGAAACCAGTGTTGGCATCACAAAATGTCGGTTGCTTTCATGTTAAATGGATTCTTTTGCTAATTTGTCGTATGCATATACTGTTTTTGTGATGTTTCCTCGAAGATACGGGCACAGTCTACTTGAGGAGGCCAGGCTGGAGAAACGGGAACTGTAAGTTGGAAGAACAATACATCTAACTTACAAAATAAATTAATGTGATAAAAAGTTATAAAAGAACACTCATGTTTTAAAGCGTTTTAACCTGTGAACAGCTCACCTGTGCGAGTTCGGGGAAAATTTTCAGTTGGCAATGTAGCCACCAGAGCGCGAGAAGGATGGGCCGAGGAAAAGTGACACTTTTCACTTTTCTTCTCGCACGCCGCCAAAAATTTTCCCGGACCTCGCAAAGGTGAGCCTGCCGACAGGCTGAGAGCGCTTTTCTTTGGGAAACTCTTTAATTCCAGAACGAGTTCTGCATATTCTTTACTAAACGCCAAAGCTGGACTTTTAATCCAAATAATATACATTCTTGTCCTATACTTCCTTATTTAGACAGTTCTTCATTCAGTATAATTTATGATTTTGCGTTGCAGAGAAGAGCTTATTTCACAACTTCAAGATCAAATTCAGCTTTTTGAAGATGATGGGGCACAGTTGAGGGATCAGGTAAGAATACATAGTAGCCAAAATGAAACATCGGAGATATGTGCGCTTCAAAGGATTATTGATTTTGTTCAGTCCATTTAATCACAGATTTTGTGTCTCTCAGATCAGACAAAACCAGCTGCGGCATGAAGATGAAATCATGAGGTTAAAAGAACAGCTTTCAGACGCACAAAGGTTTGTACATTAAAGAAAAATAAACACTTACCTTTACTCCTTCTGGGTTTAAGTTCAGCGTGATCATGGCATTACGTTAATGTGGTTTTCTCAATCACGAGGCTAAACCAAAGAACTTAACTGTTAGCACCCAGAGACAAAAATAAGAACTGAAACGATCATTTTCGTTTAAATTTTTGAATAGTTAACTTGGCCATTTTCAGCCACCTGTTTGGTAATGCGACTTCTCTGATTCTAGAAATTCAATAACGACGGTTTGCGGTTCAAATGCTCTTTACTGCAATGAAGGATATATTATTTTAACACATATTTGCCTCCGCTAAACATATCATTAATAACAAGTGACTATGCATTTTTCCCAATTCATTTTCCCGGCTGTAAAGATTTTGAATGAATGAATGAATGATCATTTCAACCGCAAGCTGTTTGAACCATTAAATGGGGAAAGTCACACGACCAAACAGGGTGCTGGAGATGGTTACGTTAGCTTTTCGAAAATTCAAATGCAAACGGTCGTTTTTTCGGGGTCCAAACAGTTAAGTAATTCCGGTAGCAATGCCAAAGAAACCACTCGTTATACCTCAGCTAAATTTCAAAGGGAGAGATGGGACTTGTTTGTCTATTTGTGCGCCAGATGACTGACTGACCCATTTCAATATACATGTCAAATGACTACTGTCATACATACTTATATTTATAAATTCTAGCAGTCCAGATTCTAAACATAATAATATTGCTGACAGGGAAGTCAGAATTATCGAGTTTCAAACTTATGAGAGCACTTACAGTCGTTATATTCTGGTCATTAACTACTGTTCGTTGTTGTGTGAAAAGAAAAGGAAACAAAAGGATTTACATTTAAGAGTGACTTTAAACCGACTTTACTGTGCAACCTTTAGTCAGTCTGTAAATACAATTCCTCTAAGCGATCCTGCCCTTCCGCAGATCCAATATTCAAGAAAACGTGGATTTAATTAAACTGCAGAGGGATATAAAGGAGAAGGCTACCAAGTTTGAAGCTCTACAAGCCAAATATTTAAATTTGGAAGAGGTGAGATAAGTCGATTTGTAGGACCAGTATGCCTCGATATTTTACAGGACTTCAACCTTGAACTGTTGAACTGAAGTCCATTTGTGTTTTTAGTTTTCAGTTACGTTATCGTTTATGTGCAATTCCATGCCATAGCATACGTGCTATTATTGTAAACGCTCTTCTCTAAGCATTTTTAGAGCCCTGATATATACGCATATTTATTATAATTGTACTTATATATCTCCAGTAGTGAACGGGTTGTTCAAAGCAGGATTAGCGCGAACTTTTAATTTTAGTCCGAATTTTCTTTGCCTAAAATCCGGTGTTTCTAAAAGGAATGTTCAAACTTAACGGAGGAATTCTTTTGAAGTAAAGAAACAGGAACTCGGGTTAATATTATTTTGTTACTGGGGTAGCGATGATAGGGAGGCGGGTACTTTGGACCCTCCTGCTCCCCCTAGTAAGCTACTGTGTGACTGTGTTTATGGTTTCCTATCATGCGCTGCTCTTTTTGAATCCTTTTTTACAGAATCTTGCCAAAGTTAAAGCGAGTCACACACAAGTTCTTGAGGAAATGGAGAAGCTCAATGAACAGCTGAAAGAGGTATACTATATCGTGTACACAATACTGAGGAACTTTTAAATCAACCACGACGACGACGACGACGCAGCGAGAGCGACAAAAACCAGTTGGTTTTATGAGCAAAAGAACAGCTCTGCAGCCGTCGTGCACGACTACAGTACGACGTGAAACGTTCTTAATGCGGCGGAAGTGAGTACACGTTGACGAATTTCCGTAGGTCCTTGATAAAACAGCTGCAGGAAAATTCCCTTACATTTGACAAATTGAGGCTTAATAAGGCTTAATAAGCGCGATAAAGTTTGGAAAAAATATATATTTGTTTTATTTGTTTTATTACAGTTCACTGCTGTCGTCCTGGTGGTTGCTTAACTTCCCTGAATAATAATTCGTAGCGGCCATTTAACGATTTCTTGTTTTGTGCTGAAAAATCTCTTGATTTTTTCTTCTTTTTTTAATTCTGTTTTTTTGCTTCCCTAGTATTCTTTTATTAATTTAGTAGTCGGTGAATCAGATATAATCACCCCTCAGTATTCTGGAAGGGATTTAAAGGAAAAAAAGGGGGAGAGCTATTTTTATCTAATATTCTTTATAACACATGCAGGAGCAAACAAAGAATTTTGTTCTGAAAAATGAACTGAAGACTGGAGGAATTGCATCTAAATCCTTGTCTGAGGTAAGAATCACATGATTTTTCGTCATGACATCTATTTCTGATGTGGATTCGTTAATATATTTAATTTTTTAATTTGTTTTTTTTCTCTTTTTTGGTACCTGGAAATCTTTAGCAACTTCAAATGATAGGAGATCTGAAAGCGGAGAATACAATCCTAAAAGAAGCAAACGAAAAGCTGGTCAACAGGTTAGGCCAATTCTTATCATGATAAAGTATACCCACCCGGCATAAAGTACTGTACCTATTGCTTGCGCGCACCGTTTGTATTATATAACAAAGTTATATTACTGCTTTTAAGGAATCAAACCTCATTTGTTTTATTGCAGTGCTTTTGACGCGGAAAGGGAAAGACAGCACAGGGCAAAGTATCGACAAATGGAGGTCAGTATGTATACGTTCACACACAGCAAAACCTGCATCACAATTTTAGGTACATTTCTTTGCCTTCCTCTGCATTATTTCAACCTGATGTTCTCGTTTTGAACAGTTTATAGACGACGCGACGGCGAATTTTTCTTTCTCTTTCTAAACTTGGGTGTGGTGTCAATGAGAGCCTGTTCCATGCTAGGTGGTCAGATTGTGGGGGCGGCGCAAAGAGATGTGAAGAGGAAAAACAGCTAGAAGCGGGTGGGGTAGGGTGTGACAGCTGCTCCCCTCCCTCTCTTTCTCCTTATTTTTTTTTTGCTGCTCTATGACTTCTCGCCGCACTCCACTATCTGAACGCCTGGAACAGGCGGATCATTATACGTTTCTGGGAAACTGCCTACGTACCCCTCCCCTAAGCCAACATTAATACTTATGTCTCACTTAGGGCAAAATGTTGGCCTAGGGGAGGGGTAGGTGGGCAATTTCGCAGAAACGTATAATGATCCGCGGCGATCTCAATGAATTCAGCAACAATCAAATTCACCAGCGGAAGCACGAAAGAACATTAATTCATGACATTATTAGTGACTTTTTGTTACCTTTAAACTGTTTTAGGTGGAAATGGAGCAGTTAAGAGCCACCTTGAAGTCGGACCTGCAAGAGAAAAATGACATACTTGATAAACTAACACATGAAAGAGGTCAGTAGGTAAAACTCAGTGTTACATTTTTAATAACCCTGGATAGCTAGTTCGCATTATTTTCAATGATTTTCTTGTCTGTTTTCGGTGTTTACGCGCTTAGAACTGCAATATATGAAAGAAGCAGCACTTATTCCATAAAAACGTCGGCACGTGACAAATATAGATGATGGTCGAGCATTGTGAGTCTTACCTTTATACAACCTTGGACGAGATGTGAAAAAAGCGGCCCACCGTTTTTCTGTATTTTTCTTGTGATCTTATGCATCTGAAGCTTTTTTGTACTTCAGTCAGTTCTGTAATCTTTTTCAGTTGTTAAGGGCTTAAATTGCCTAAATCAGCGTTGCCTAGCTAACCTCTTCTATTACGAGATCTTGTACATGTATGACGTTGGATGATGGTCTGTTACTCAAAAAAAAAAATGATGGCATACAGGAACGAGGCCATGGTTACTAATGAATTCTACTGCAATGTCATACGTAGAATCCGCTGAGAAGCTTCAGTCAGAGCTGCGAGAAGTAAGAGTTCAACATTACACACTAAAAGAACAGCACGATGACTTGAAGGAAAAGATGAAGTTTTTTACCAAGGTAACCGCCGGACGCATTTTCTAGGTCTTTGATAATGTTATGTTGATTATCACGTCAAAAATGTAAAATTATAAGTGGTCATATGTTGCATCAAGCGTCACGATTTGTGCTTCATGTGCAGACTTCAGAAGTATGAAATAATATTTAGTTCCTGCCTGCGAATGAGCTTCAGAAATTCAGTGCCCCCTGAAGATTTTGGGTAACATGAAAAAATACACTCTCAGGACATAAACCTAAGAAGTCAAGTGCCTTGATTCTACAATGAAGGTATGGCAGCAGGATAGCAAACCTTGGCCTGAATGCGGCAGCCACACGTTCATGGAACTATGATTTCCACGTGCTTAAGTGCATGCACTCAAACGAGGCCCTGGAGTTTTTTCTCAGTAGCTTGAATTCAACTCCTCTGGCGTTCCTGTTAAACTTGTTGTCAACTGTTTCGTCTCATGACCTTGGTTGTTCAAACGTTAGATAGCGCTATCCAGGGAGACCAATTGAGTTATCCAATGGAAAGTAGCGTTTTCTAACTTTCGAACACCTGCGACCTGGTTTTATTAAACCAAGTTGTCATCGTAACTTGCTCGTCCTTGCACTCTTTGCAGGAAAGTGCGGTTGATTTTCAAGAGATCGAGGAGGCTTTGGTGTTGATCAAAGTAAGTTGTCCATCTTTCAAATAACCCCCGAGAATTCCTGACTTGCATATAATCTCGTTAAAACCGCAACTCCCAGAAACGGTACCCAAAACTGACCCTTGGAAGAAAATCAAATTTCACTTCCCGTGAAATATGGACAAGTAAATCGACTAGTAACATGCAAAAGTCCGCGGAGTAAACAGTTATTAAATGGTCATACAGTAATTTTAGTACCTCTGCGCCCTACGCATAAAAAAAATTAAATCCGCAAAGGCGCAAAATAATTCGTGGCATGTGTCCCGTAGGACGCAAAGATCGATCGATCGATCTGAACATGTGCATTTGTAGAAATATCCGGCCCGTTCGCGTAATTTTTGTGGCAGTTATTATGGCTGTTGTGTAACGAAGGAGAAGGACTATCTTTTAATTTCGGTATACTGTTAATAGAGTTTTGGAGTCTGTCTTCAGATTAACTGTCTGGTTACATAAAGGCCCAAGCATTTTCAATTTCGGACTCGTATTTTTTTTTAACTGGTACTCATGATTTTTCACAAGATGAGTCCCAGGACTCACCATAACTATTTGTAACAAAATCACTGAGTCATACCTTGAGAATTTCTCTGTAGAAACGACTGACTCTGGGAGTGAAGAGTTTAAAGAGAATAGTGTAGCATGGTGAAGCATAGGAAAGGGGCCTTGCTTGGCAGAACAAGTCACTGAGCTTCCTGTTATTTTTCTTCGCAGCACAGGAAAGAAAAAGGGAGCCAGGAACTGGATTTCCTGGAAAAGGTGGATGACGAAAAGAGCAAAGGTGATCTTAAAATTTTCTGGTATTCTAAGCATGCTGGATTAAATGGCGTGATTTTTATAAAGGTTTAATGTGCAAGTATTAGAGACCTTTAGATTCTAAGACGAGTACGACAACGAGTACGAGATTTTCTCAATGCTAAGCAGTAAGCGCGCGTAAACCAGCGTCATTTTGGCGGGAAAACGTGGTAGCCGTCCTCACTCTACTACAAGTTTTAGCGAGAATGTCGAAAATGGGAAAACAAGATATCAAATGTTAGAAGTTTTATCATTTTGCGATCAGGAGAGGGTGTAACCTCCTTCACTAAAGGTAACAGTGCTAACTTTTGTAGTCAAAAATGGTAAAATGAAGCTTTCCGGGGAGTCTAAATTTTGAGAATACGCGAAAAAACTTGAATTCAAATCTCGTACTCGTTTTAGAATCTAAAGGTCTCTGTTGATTCCATGTAACTATAGTTACAAGTAATTCTATTTCAGACCTTAAGCGACAAGTTGCAGAATTACAGGCTTCCCATGCAGATACCATTAATGAACTGGAGAAAACAAGAAACATGCTGATTATCCAGCATAAGATCAACAAGGATTACCAAACAGAGGTACACGCGCCTATATATTTATTAGTAGCTGACACATTTGTCTAAAACCCGTGCTTTTAACAACGATTTCATTTATGATCATTTATTTTTTCATTCTGTTGAATTGGAACTCCTTAATTACCCCCCCCCATCCCCGGATTAATGATGTTTGTAGTAAAAGAATGACTTGAGGTTCTAAACTACTACATTGATTTTTGGGGGAGGGTGTGGGATACACAGGGGGAGGGGATAGATATATCTACTATTCAAAAAAGGGTCATTTTATTGAAGTGTCTGAACACTTTCGTCCCTCTTTGTAGCTAAAGGAGATGTTGGTTGGTTCAGTTCACCGTATTTTCTCCTCGTATTTTAGTTCTATTACTGTTCATAAATCTCATCAAAAAGTAGCATATGCACTATACGTGCTTTTACTCTAAAGCTCACTTGAATCAGTTACTCGTGCACTTGAATTTTACTAGTGCATAACCGTGGCTTTCACTTATTTATTTGTGCCCAAGGTTGAGCGAGTAACAAAGACGATGACTGAAGATAAGAAGGAGTATGACTTGAAAATGCAAGAGTATGCGCAGCTGCTGGACATAAGGGCTGATAGAATACGAGTAAGTATTACTTTACCGTTGAAACTACATTAAACGGCCACCTATCAAGTGGCCAGTTACCAAAATCTCGAAATAATTTTAGGAAAGAATAGGAAATTAAACCTCTACTAAGGGGCCACCTCTGTTTAGCGTCCCAACGAGAGTTCTCCCATTAATGTGGTAAATAAGGAATGGTGGTAAATGTTTCCCTCGGTGAAGAAATGAGAAATGATGTGCTCAACATGTCACAAGCACGGGACGAAGAAAAAAATCTGAGTCCCCGACTAGAATTGAACCCATGACTTTCAGTACACCGGTCGGATGCTCTAAACCACTGAGCTACGAAGGACTCATGGTGAGCTGGGCTATATACAAGGTTCATGTATGATATGCGCCCTGTGCATCTAAAGGGTGGATCTGTTAATTTCGTAATTTAATTGTTGTTGTTTGTTTGTTTGTTTGTTTTGTCTCAGAAACTTGAGAGTCAGATACGGGACATAGCTTATGGAACTAAACAGTACAAGGCAGCCCCGTCAGAGGTGAATTTCATTCATTTCAAACATAATTCTCTTTCTTTTGACGTTTGAAGTCAGCCGTTTATAACTCTTAGTTTTGTGGATAAACTGTTGGATCTTGAGTAACAAAAACAAATTAATAACAGTTAAACATGCCAAGTTTATAAGCGAGAAGAACGGAGAATAGACTAAGAGGCTAGAACTGAAACAGGGAAAATTACCCTAAAGGGGGCGGGAGAAGAAGGCAACGACTTCCTCATCCCATTTTTCATTCATTATAATTTATTCTTTCATTCTATTTGGCCGTTGATTTTTGATTTTGTGTAGTTAATATACAGTAGAAGGTCTCCTGTTGACCTCTCTCGTAAGCGACCAGCTTTTGTTACGACCACCTTTGTGAAACCCCGTCTTGAACTGTGACTTACACTTTGTAATGAAAAGCTCCCGTAAGCGACAGCGACAACTCTTGGGATTACGCAACTGGATTTTTCCATTGTTTTTAAGCTCTCGTACAGCTTCAAAATCTTCTGTCGCAGGTCAAGTCATTCTCGCGCTAATATTTATATGTTGGGTTATTTTGGTTAAAAAAATTGGACTTAAAGTTTAACTGCCTTTGTATAAAAAATAAAGACTCTCGTTAATTTATTTTGTCGTTTTCTATATAAATTATTAATGAGCTTCTGAAGCTCTTGTGAGCGACCTTCTTCTTTGTTTTACCATGCAGTCGCTTACGAGAGCTCATTCTCGTAAGCAGCCAGTTTTAGTAACGACCCCTTTTTCGAATTACCAAGGTGGTCGCTTACGAGAGCTTCGACTGTATATCTGTTTCTTTTCGGTGGATAGGATTCTGAGTTTGAAGAAATGGACAGCACAGTTGAGTTGGAACGAGGGCAGAATGTTTTCGAAATCCATATCGATAAGGTGAGATATATGCTACTTGTTGTCTATCTGATTCTTAATTTCTTACTTTACAGTCAAGGCAGGTCAAGCGTACCCAACAAGATTCTATTAGTGAAGTGATAATTTGAAAAGTGAATCCGTTAGTCGTTCATGTAACTAGTGTCAAATTTAAATCAGCATTCCAGCAAGCGTAATGAGCAGTGGTTGTATTGTACGAGCACTTCTCTGTATTTGGTAAGATTGAAAACCTTTGAATGGATAAAGTTGCTTCGAAGACAGTTACCTCAAATGATGAATCTGAATTCTGTCAGTCACACATTCATCATCATCATCATCATCATCATATGCAGACAGTTGATGCGACTTAGGCTGTTTTAGGGTTCTGCACATAGGTCTGTTGTTATCATTCTTTTGCTAACAGTTGATATTGATGTCTCTCCATTTCATGTTTCTCTTATCAGCAACTTTGAACCTTAAATTACACTGATTTATAACAGGCCCTTAACAGCTTGTCATTCACGAGGTGCAAAACCGCCATGTTGGAGCACAAGAAACGCACTGCAGGTGGGAAAAGACAAACAAAGGAGATTTACATTTTAAATGATGTGAGCTCTTTGTATATCTTCTCCCAGTGCGTCGGTCCTTGCTCTCCATCATGGCGGTTTCGTACCACATGAATAAATGAACAACCGCAAAGGGCATATTTCTTCGAATACTATGCAGATCTTCTGTCTTAAAATGATTGTCTTTTTGGTACGTATTTATTCTGTATGGTCGTAAAGCCTAAGTTTAGATTTTAGTTAAACATCTTCCGATGGCTCAGAGTTACTTGTATCTGTTGTGTATTTTGCGCTGTTATCGTTGTTGCTCAGGTCATCTTCTCCCAAGAATCCTTCAAAGAGTTTGAAGATGACGAACCAATGACGTTTGTAACCTACGAGTTCTTTGAACACGAATTTCAAACCACGCCTGTTGTCAAGGGAACAAGGTAAAGTTATGTCCAACTCAAATAGTTCAATTTCGAATTCTTCATGGCCGCTGAATAAAAGCGCCAGACGCATTTGTTCAGGGTTAGCCTCGACCCATCCTCCAAGACCCAGGGACAGTCTGTTGGGTCGGCAGAAAGGGCCCTAAAGGAAAATATTCACAAATACCGGCGAGGTGCCTGAATTTGAGATCAAAACAATATACACAGTTGTACACAGGTCTTCTGACTGGAATTTATGAATATATTTACCTGGTTCGAGGCTGTACCCTGTATATATTCACCCACTCTTTACGCGGTGAGATTCTTACTTTGGTCTGAATCTAACCCACGGCTTTTGTCCTCATGAAAAATTCTGTAAGCACGATACGAGTGATGTCAATCTCACATGTTTACAATTATAAACGAAATCGTGGGGACAGAGCCTTACGCCAAGAGCGTCATGGACATACAGTCACTCTTTACTTGCTTCCATTAATCTTGATCGTTGACTCAATAGCGGTGCCATGCATGGGACTCAAACTATGCTGAGGCGAATCTTTGCCGACCCCATTGGAGTCACCGTGTTTACAGGTTGAAAGAGTTGATTAATTTGGGCATTTTGTGCAATTTTCAGCTCTTTCCACGAAGCAATTACAAAGTAAATAGCAGCCATCGAAAACTGCGAAATTGCTGGGTGGCAAAACCGTTGATAAGCCCATACTTTCTTTGTAAAGTTTCGAGTTTGTCAATGATAATTCCTCTTAAACTATTCGGTATATCGGGGTCAAATTTTAACAGATAGCTGAAATTGTGTAGTTTTTCGATATTCGGTTTAGCTTGATCAGAGAATGAAAGGCAGGCGTGACTAGTGAGGCAAATAATGTATACAAAGATTCGCGAATAACCAGGTTTCTCCGGTCTCTTGCTTCGAGAAAGAACCCTGGTTGCGGCTGGTCGCGTGGCTCCCAAAATCTGAGTTTTCGCGCGGTCACTCTCATTCCTCGTTCCTCGACACCGCAAGGAAACGCTTGCTACTCGGGCTAGGTTCGAACAAGCCAAGGAACGGAGCGGCGTTTTATTCTCGTACTTACTGTTTAAAAAGCAGTCGACATCCGTCGAGTCCGTAAATTCCGTCTTTCTCTGTCAGTCATTCGGAGCATTCGTCTAGGTAGAGATAAATTACCCAGTGCAGTCTGTAATGAGTGGTGTTGGTTCTCTTTGTTTCAGGCCTGAATTCAACTTCACTTCTCAGTATTTAGTGAGAGTAGACGATTTCTTCCTGCATTACTTGCAAAAGGTAAATTACCTCACTGCTCGTAACAAGTGGTGCCTAATGAACCTCATGCAGTTATCGAATCATATCATGTTGTACGTGCTTTCCTAAAAGCGAATTTAATTACAGCCTGTAGGAAATAATTGTTGAGCTATCGCAGAAATCAATTCAAATTTTCTCTATAACAGGAGTCCACTTTGCTGGAGATCCATCGAGCATTTGGCACAGATTACAAGACAGTAGCCGCTTGTCAGCTGAAGTTCCGAGACCTGCTTGAGAAGCCACACGGTAGAATCCATAGTACTGCCAAGCTAATAGGTGAGTTATAAACTTGTACTTTCAGCGGTTAAAAACACAGGAAATTGAGAATCGTTTTGACACCTGTTAAAACTGGGTGATGTGATGGATCCTACCGTGGTATCTGGAGTAGCCGTTGTTTGGGAAGGTGATTTACTTCACGACTCAAAAATCGGCCGCGTTGTTGAATACTAACCTTGCCGAGAGGCCAACGTCAATTTGTAACATATTTTCAAGATTTTCCTTTACCTGTTCTTTACTGTTCATTATATCAGCTCAAAAATAGGTAGCTCCGTTCCGTTTTTCATCCATAAGAATCATTAGACAGTTCTTATCTGCTCGTTTTGTAATGATATTATGAATTTTCAACTTGAATCTCACTTTTTCTGTTTGCCGTATCTTGAGTCTAACTCTCTCTTAGTAAAACTTGCCTCCTTACCAGTACTTTGTCTGAAATATTTGCGTTCTAGCCATTTCCAGTATAAGGTTTTAGGAAGACAGTCCACCCACCCCACCCTTAAACAAAGATTTTGTCTTGAGAAACTGTTAACGTCGGGTTAGGGGAGTGGTAGGAATCTTGTTCTTATCCAAGGTTTCTTGATGTTAAATATGATTTTTCACCAGGTACTAGACCTCCATGTCAGGGAGCAGAGTTTGCGACCTTGGAGTACTGGGTCCGTCTAAGAGTTCCCATGGACCAAGCAATCAGATTATATAGGGTGAGTTTTCCTTTCTATTTTAAAGCTAATGTTATTCGAACACGAAAATCTGGTACTATTTATTACTCAACTAATATCATAGGTGACGAATTACTCCTTAATTTTGACGCGAAATTTCAGCGTTAATTTGTAATTTCACATGTGAAATTACAAAATTGCCATGGCAACCTTCCGTACGTCTTAGTGTCAAGATGGTGACGAAGTTTTAAACTGTCATGAATGAAGATGTCAGAGCACAAAAAGACGCTTTAGAAAACCTGAACACACGAAAGAGCACAGCAAGAAGAAAAAATTTTAATAGGTATTTTGTACCGGCCGCTCTAAACGTTCGAGAGAGTGCAGGAGTTCTTCGATACGATCCAGGATTTCAAAAATCCAAGATTTAACGTGATTCGTCACCCATGATGCGTAATCAAATAATACTCGAAAGATTTTGTCCAAGTCTAATAATTTTACGGACAAACACCATTTGATTACACAAACGCTTTCCACACTTGGTACCGGAAGTGTCTGATTTCCTTTCCCGTCAACTACTACCGCGTATAAGAGAGATTTAGAGTCACTTTTACGGCAAACAGCAAACGTGAATTTTACCCCATTACCAAGTTTTCCTTTTTCTTGTCGTTAATTATTTGTTACTTCTACAAAAAGAATCATTAGTTGCACGCCATTTTTATCCATATGAATCATGATTGTCTTGATAATTTCTCAACTTAAATCTGACCTATGTCGTTTGTTGTAAACCTGACTCTAAATCACTCTATTGTCTTAGAGCTTTGGACGCAAAGGCCGGGTTCACGAATACCTCTTAGGACAAAACAGCTTCTAAATAGTGTTCCGTAACAATAGTCTAATAATCTAGTGTTATTGAGAGTTGGGTTTACTCCTGGACGAGGTTATGGAGAGATCATTTGTCACTCCAAACTTTAACATCTATGTACTAAATCCTTTGTTGTTACCTTTCAAAGGAAACCTCTTTGTCAGTACTTTCACTTTATTTCGTACGATTTTACAAATAGAAAATTGAATTTTTGGGGGGTATTTGTTTTCTATGGCTACTGTTATCAGTAAAAGGGTTAAGGTAGGTGGGTTTGGTGAATTCGGCCCCTGATTGTTTCTTTTGTCCGTTCATCTTCAAGTTTTGGTTAGTTCTCTGCAGTTGCCGCTCGTCTAGACAATAGTGTCACTCAAAGATTGTAAGCGTTATAGTATTCTCTGCTGTGATTTAGGAACGTACTAAGGCGCTTGGTTACATGAGTTCAGGAGCGTATAAAGCTCTGGAAGACGCCGGTCACGTGCCTGACAAACCACCTTCGGACGTTAATGAACTAGACGTACACGTAATCAGATGTAATGGATTACAATCGAGAAGACCAGGTATGGTGTACAGTATTTACTATCAGCCAATGTAGTGCCTGCTACTACTGCATATGGTGACGGACTGAGCTTGTTTTTTTTTTTTAGTTACATAAATGTATCGGGCTTAAAATTGGCCTTCCCATTTTTATCAGCAATTTTCTAAAGTGTTGAAGATTTTTTCAAGACGACTAGCGAGGCAAAAGTCACGATAAATCATTCGCACGCGAGAGCCATCAGCTGGGCTCCCGACCTCTCTTGGGTAGGAGTTGTTAGTTCAGTTCTTAGTTCTCTCGTTTTTTGTTTGTTTGTTTGTCTTATTTGTCACATACTAGCTCTTTTAATTTTAACAGGCGACTGACCGGCTGTTTACATGGAGGGAGGAAGATCCTAGAAGGCGGATCATTCTAACGCTAAATGTTTTCGTTATTCAGTTTACATGCAAAAAGTTGTACTCTCCCTAGTGCTAGGATCTTCCTAGCACCACGTAAACTGCTTTCGCAAGGAAGATCCCAGTACTAGGGAGAAACCAACGAAATGGCGTTCAGGCCGAATTATTATAACTCAAAAATGGAGTAAAAATTTTAGGTACAGGATAAGTGGGTTAATTTAACTCCAAATTCGTGGTATTTTTCTTGTAGTCTTTTAACTCCCAGTCTAAAAATAACTGAAAATAATCACACGGACCGCAAAAATTTTCTGATAACTCCTTTTTGGGGGTTATTTTAAAATCAAACGAAAAAGTTTGATCCGTTAAAATAACTCCTCCCCAAAATAATTCCTCTGTAAGAAGTTAAATTAACCCCACTAGAGGAGGATCTTCCTTGGGTGCTCTGATAAACACACGGACATTTTAAACAATCCCCTTGAGATGTCAGGATCATTCTTTTTTCAGGTATTGTTTTTTCAGGTATACAGCCTAGCCCGTATGTAGTGTACCGCTTCTTTGACTTTGCTGATCATGACACAGACATTGTACAGAATAGTAACACACCCGAGTTCAACGACGCCAAAACATTCCCTGTTCCCATGACAACTGAGCTTGATACATACCTTAGGGCCGCGGTAAGATATTGATACAGTGTTAACTGTTTGCAACCTGTCTCTTCTGAGTTTTTGGGTCGTGGCGCAACGGCTGACACGCAATCGGTTAACGGACGGACCATTAGAAAATCGGTTAAAGTACCAAAAAATAAACGTCCTCTTTGTTCAGCACGTCCCTAAAAAATATTTCTGCTAGGGCTAAAAAAAAACGCAAGTTTGAAAAAAAACCGTTCGAAAGATCCTTGTAACTTTTCTAATGGTCCGTTTGTTCTTCTAAAAGAGTTCTCTTTGTTCCAGTCCTATATTTCTGCAAGGGACTGAAACGCTATAGTTTCACCGTTCGGAGATGTGTGTTCTGGTGTGTTTATTCTTCTAAAATATTTTTCCGCCAAGAGGGTCTTGTTTAGAATTTATATAAATGGACGCGCAAGTTGAATTCGTTTTCATGTGAATTATTGTGCACCAGGCCTTGCTATAATAAAAAAGCTTAGAGCAACTCAGAAATAAGCTATTGGCTTCTTTCGTTCTACTCGAAAATCAAATCTGTTTTTCTGTTTCTTCTCACGAATCCGTAAAAAACCCCTGAAATGTAAACTTAACACTAAGTTGCAGTGGCTGGGTATCAGTCTACAGTCAAGGATTTGGTGGGAAACTGATCACTGAACTTTTGTGAGTATTTAGGTAGTTAGTACCAATATAATGGACGGAATTTAGTATTGACCTTGTTACTGCCGGCCTTGCTCACACTGTGACTTAGATAGTAAATTATAATTTCAGGCGCTGGAGATTTATGTTTTTGATGATGCTGATCCCGAACCCGCAGCCTATATGGGACTCGCGAAGGTTCCACTGATAACTCTGGCCAGTGATAAGCCTATTAAGGGAACCTTTGAACTCAGAAGGGTAAGTTATTAGTACAGCAGTGTTAAGTGGGACTGAATAACATATTATCTCAGGCTATTCTCAGCTGATTGTAATATTATCAATTTGAAGTGCTTTAGTCAATCGATACACAAAGTAATTGGCCAGTGACTTCATTGTCTGCAATGCGAAGACACTGCAAATTGAAGGATAGAAGTGGCTCATGTAGTTATCCGAAATTTGACCTTTGGTTAACGATTTCACGTTTTACCGTAACAGCTCTCTTTTCTAACCGCTTTTCTTGTATGCAGAGTGAACCAAATTTGCGCTAATTTTTATTATGTCAGTTACAATACAAAAAGTTGCAAACCTCTCCAAGTAATGTACCCTCTTTAGAATCTGAAAGTCACATGGGTTAACATTGATTGGATACTAGAATAGAAAGTTAGATTGCAAATCGCGTATGCATTTGGAACGTTGTAGGTAAAAGCAGCCCGCATAACTGGGGTCAAAGCGCGAGAGACGAGGACGACGCGCAAGTGGTAGAAGTTTAAAAGGAACAGATTTGGTTTATCCGGAGGTTTGAAGAATCGGGGTAAAATGCATTATTAAACTGTGGATGGAAAGTCGCAATTTGCGTTCCAGTCGTGAAGACATTTGATTAATTGACATGCTGCACTTTTAAAGCTGACAATTTTCTTCCTTCAATCAATATCTGCAGGCTTCAGGAAGTGCTAATGGGACTATTGATGTTTATTTGAAATGGAGATACACCTATCTACCCGCTAGTTCCAAGCCCCGCGGTGCACCTCAGGTATACGTTATTTAAACGTTACTTACTTCCTCTCTCTCCCCGTTCCTTCTCGGCCTGCTTGGCCACAGCAGCTATTCCTTATCCTTAAGAATGCAAATCCTGATCCTTGGATGTAGACACTCTTAATACGGCTTTGCGACTGTGGGATCAAAGATAAATTCCCATTAGATGTAATATACATGTTAAAATCAAGAGGAGCAGTGTTTTAACGCAGTATAGAAACATTATGATAGTGCGTTGACGAATGAAATGTAGGCGCAATCCCATTTTCTCCAACTGCTTTGAACTAGTTTCCTTTGTCTTTGTTTGCTTGGTTGTTTGTTTTAATAAATTCTGAAATAGTTGGACAAATGTGCTGTCGGAAAAATTGTCCATTTTCAGTTGGTTTCGTCTGTTATAGCAGAGTTGATTTGTTGAGCTCCTGTTGTTGAACTTTCTGTTTTTAGCGAATAATGCAAGTTCCTGGTGACAAAGAACCTTTCAGCTGGGACAGTGAACCGGAAACTAGGGAGTTATCAAAATCACCACAGAAAAGAGAAAAACCACCGTCACCTGTTGATACTTCGACCCCAAAGCAAGAACCGCGGGAAGAAAAGGTGGCCAGGCGAGAGCGGCCATCTCAGCCAACGCAGCTAAGAAGGAAACCATCGGACCTGATACAGAAGGCTGAGCCGGTAGTGGTTGAGAGAAAAAAGTAAGACATTCTTTTATTACTAAATTCTCCTTAAGGAACAATAGCCTTTTTGCAATAGTTGGTCACGTGATCAACTTTCTGTAAACACGAAAACGATTCTGCGAACAGGCTCCCAAGTTAAGCTGGGCGAAAACAGTAAATTGGCGAGCGAAGCAAGACGAGCTTTGCCAAGGGAGAAAAAAAAGCGAAGGAGCCTGTAGACTTTGTTTTGATGCCGCTCATCCGCCCACTTACTATTATTTTGTAACGTCTAGGTAAATAAGGTAACTAGACCTGTCAAATTATGATGTTTTTTAGGCTTGAGTGCATCGGCTTCAATAACATTCGCGTGTACGTGGTTTTTTTTTCGCGGAACGAGGAATATATTTATTCAATATTCATGCCTCACTTGTCAAGAGTCAGCGATCTTACCAATCAGATCATGATACCAATCAGATATCATAAATGGGCGGCATCAGAACAAAGTGTACAGGCTCCCCCGCCCCTTTTTCTCCACCCAGGCCACGCTCTGCCCCCTTCGCTAGTCGATTTTCTTTTTCGCCCCGCTCCACTTAAGGTATCGATTGAAACGGCAGTCGAAAATTACTATGGGATAAATAACGCTTGCCACCCAATCAGGGTTGAATGGTTTCCATACAAATCAGTGAAAATTCTGAAATTTTCAAACTGTCGTGAAATCTTTCCATTAAGCATTATACACGTAGTGCTTAAATTTCTGTCGTCTTTTGTTCTCAGGCGTGGACAACAATGGTAGCTTGCCCTCTTTTGCAATTACTGGGCTCGGAAAAAGAAAAAACTTGACTTCCAGCTTGTCCTTTGGACAAGCAACTATCACAATTTCCTTGCCTGGGGCCACTTCTTACTCGTGTTAGTTGGTGATTTAGTTAGAAGGTTCATGGAAAGCAAAGTTTGGAGACCCCTGAGTTGGCAAAAAAACAAAAAAAATATTCAAATACTCAATCCGCCAAGCAACGTTCAGCTTGTCTCAAATTTGTAAAGAAGCACAAAAGCCTTACTGTGGAAAGGGCCGGGATGATTATCTTTTCTTGGATCAATGCCCGAAATATTTTTTTTTAGCTGCCTAATGTATATTGCTTGGGGGTCGAAATGGCTCCTGCGCAGCAGGTGATAAAGAAGCTTAAAATGAATCATCTGGGCCTTTACAAGCTACATGTCTTATCCCACTCAAGGCCGCAACTACTACAGAGTGTTAAGAAAAAAAAAACAAAAAAAACAAAGGGGGCATGCCGGTTACTGAACTTCTGAATGCAAGTACCCAATAGAGCAATAAACATCTTTCCGAAATTTCATGTAAAAATAAAGTTGTAGCTCATGAAATTAGAGGAATAGACTGATCTTACGTCCGTGAGATCATCGAGATCGAGCGCCTTGTGTTACGGGCTGCCATCTTGCATGAGTGTCAAAACTACTTAGGGGAAGGGGGCGGTTTGGGAGGAAGCGAGAAAAATTTTTCTCGCCCCTCCCCCTTCCTTAGAGCTATAATCCCCGACGCCCGCCCCCTCGGTGCATTTGAAAATCAAGATACCCGTGACAGTAAGACGCGGTATATCTAAAATCTGACGAAAAAATGGTGGACTGTGAACAGTCTATTAGAGGAACGAACTGTTGGGACACCCTGTACTTTGCCAGATGACCGGACGGGGATTTTTTCGAGCCCTGCTTACCCAGTGCAGTGAGTCTCCTAGTAGGCCATTTCCTGAGTTTTCTAAAACACTCGCTTTCAAAACGAGGCTAAGTGCGAAATTTCTTATCAATATCTTCGCACTTAGCCTCGCTTTGAAGCGGGGACTTGAAGCAACGAGGGAATGGCCTATTGGCTTTGTAGGAAGATCTTGTTCTACGGAAGTAATAAACAAGAAACGTTTTGACTCTCCTTGGTATCGTTGCGTCGTTTTTTTTTTTTTTAGAGAAAAGCCACTTGAATCGATGTCGGTGGATGAAATAGAGAACGAAATAGCCAAGAAACCACAGCCTGCCCCGCGCACCCACAAACGTGAACAGGAGAAGCCTGTTGAAGAGATGTCAATTGATGAGATGATGAAGGTGGCCGAGGAACCGAGTGAGGAGAATGGATCCGAGGTCAAGTCTCCAAGAGAAATTGTGGACTCATCAGATGAAGTACTGTGCATGGATCAATGTTATTAACTTATAATTAAATTTATAATTTGGATTTCTATGAACGCCGGGTACTCGGGACATCAATCCTCGTGGTTGTGTCGGTTCATGTCTTTAAGGGCTGTGTCATAGCTGTCTCGTTCATTTTGTTAGAGCCATTTTTGTATGACCTCGAAATGCAAACGCGCGAACAAAACAGAAACGACAAACAAACGGAAATAGAGCGATTTGATTCGTTTGTCGAACGGATACAAACGTGCGTGGCTTTTGAATGGTTAAGCGAACACTCGGGTGAAAAACTTCATGCCCGAGAACTTTCTACAAATCAACCGATACTTCGCTGTGACGTTATACTGCAACACGATTGGCCAATCGAACAATGCCTTCTCCATATTAGGGTTGTCTTTGGCAAAACGAAGAGGCCATGTTTTGATCTTTTCATCCGTTGGCTGACAAAAAAAGTAACGAACACTTACCGAAACCATTTTTCAAGGTCATACTAAAATCGCTCCAATAGAGAGCTTAAGCAAAGACGTTTTTGGACGACGCACATCACCCGAAGTGAGCTCTTTTCCCTTTTGATATGCCATGACGCTTCTTAATTTCTATTGCTTAATGTCTCAAGTCTTATAGAGACGCTCTACCTGAAAACCCCCACTTCCGGCTGATGTACGTTGCTCAAAAACGACGTTGCTTAAGCTCACTATTATTATCAATGAAGCTTCATAATATGAAACTTAACGCTGGCGAAAAAATTTCTTGCGTAATATCAAACTTTATAAACAAAAAAGAAACTTTAAAAAACTGTTAGGCTAACAAGTTTTCAAAAATCACAATGCTTCAATCTTTTTAAAGTTTGTCCATGTTTTGTATTTTCCGTGTTATTTATACCTTCTTTTAGCCTCGTAGAGAGAACGAGGTTAGCCGTACATAAACAAAGCTTTAAAAATCTCCTGAGACAAAATGGCTGCCGCGTGACAAAGGTCTATTGGTGGAAGTTTGCACTGTTGGAATTTTAATAATTTTCGTGACACAGCTTCCTCAAAGAACAACTGAGATGTATGTTACATGTGTGGGGTTCTTGTCTAGGGTCATGGCTTAAAGACCGACGTATTATGACGAGTAGACTTCCTATAACTTTAGTCGACTCTAATTGTTGACGGCTGGAATCAAGTAGTGAGTACGGTGGACATTTTGTAGGGAGGCCGTTTTTTATCGGTAAATTGTTTTTATTTTTTATTTTTAAGAATGATGAAGCTCTGGTGGCTGAAGAAATGAGAAGGACAACTGAAGCAGCAGCCGTCAGTGAAGACACCATGTTTGAAGAGCAAGCATCAGATGATGGTCCGTAGCTCTTTTTTTATTATTATTTTTTAAAAAAATGTGTACTTCAAAGATTTTTTTATTTTTGGCAAAATATTGTTTGCTTTTCATTTATAACAGTGCATACAAGGTATATTACCATTATGTACCTACAAAAAGAGACTGGAAAAGAAAACATTCACGAATCACCAAAGTGTATCAAACTGAACAGATGCAAAAACAAATGAAGTGAAAAAATTAAGAAAACACAGTAAATTCGCAGTGAGGTACAATAAGTTTCTTCCAAAGAAAGTTGAAGAAGAAGCTGACAACCTCGACTCGATTTCTTCAAGTTAGTACTCTTTTTTATGATAGGCTCGATACGATTTCCGCCTTTTTCTAAGGTAAAAGCGGCTGGTAATCAAGCCTTAGTGTATTACTGACAGCATTTAGTAACGGTTTCACTGCACTTGAATACTGGGCCGTTTTGTAATTTCTGGGTATTGTTTTTGATTTCCAGTTGTTGAGAGAAGAGTCAGCCCTTTTTATTTGTAAAGTTGTTGGTTATTAAGAGTAGGTCAAACACTGCGTTTTCGTATTGTTGCTGTCAAGGTGACCTAGTAGGCCTGACATAAAGGAATTTCCTTTGTTACTGTTCAGGTTTCGACTCAACAATCGGCGAAGAAGTGGACATACCCCTTCCCTCTGCAGAATCCAAAGAGGAAATAAATGAAGATGAAGAAGAAGAAGTAGAAGAGGAAATAGATGAAGGAGAAGAGGACGAAGAAGATCAAAGAATAGGACAGCAGGAAGAAACATTTGTGGAAAGTGGAGCTGAGACCAGTGAAAGTGAAAACGTGGTGGTGTCCCCAAGACATTCTCGCGCAAAGTCGGTCACCAATGTAAGTAGAGAATGTTGAAAATCTACTTTTACTATGCCAGCCAGGCTCTTGGTGTACGGCAAGAATCGAGTAGAATATCTTTTCTCTAGAGGACAACTTTGCTGAGACTTAAGTCCCGCCTAACCACTCTAGCTAACTAGTTTTCCTTCACCCTGCTTGGATTCGTACTTGTTGCAGTTTTTTATACTCTTTGTTTCCCTTGTTGTTTTTCAGTCACAGTACAAACTACTTAAAGCAATTGTATTCCCCCCCCCCCCCCCCTATACGGAGTGCAACTTTAGAAGAGTGAGTGAAGGCCCGCATCTTTTGCATTTCCAGTTAATGAAAGAGCTCCAAAACAGAAAGACAAGTAATGACGTCACAAAAACTAAATTTGTGAAATTATGGGATAGGTTGGTAAAGTCAGAAAGACAAAGATGAAAATGAGCCTGTTGGTGCAAATTGGTGAGGAGGTATAAGCATGCACGTAAGGTTTTAAAATAGGCCTGCATCGTAAGCCTTACGATCCAAGCCAATTTTAGAACCACGTGTAGAGTCGTTAGAGCAGAAAGGTGACGTTACACGCGACGATTCGCAACGACGATTTTTACGGCTACACAGCCGCAGAGCGTTGCAATATTGGAACAATGTGGTAACTATTCAAGATTAGTAAAATCCAACTAGTTGTCCATTATCAATGCTGCGTTCTGATTGGTTGAGCCACTACTAGGCTATATGTTATAGCCCACTCGTGGCGAAAAGCGCCAGCTTTGAAAACCAAAACAATGGCAGCAGAATCGCGTTTTGCTAGCTAAAATTGTTTTGTCTCAATATTTTTGACCAACTAGTTGGATTTTACTAAAACAATTATTCCTCTCTCGCTCATGGCCTCTGAGTCAATAGCCCATGCGGCCGAAGGCCTAATGGGCTATTGACTCAGAGCCCATTCGGGCTCAGGAATAATTGTCAACAATGTCGCAACAATGTTGCAACACTGTGTTGCGCTAAAAATCGTCGTTGCTAATCGTCTCGTGTAACATCACATTTACGGTGCTTCTATCTTCCCACCAGTTTGCACCAACGGGCCCCAGTGACTTTTGGCAACTGGGCTTTTTTCATCCTTTTCTTTCTCAATATGCCCACCAATTCCATAATTTCACATATCTTTACTCTATTCATGTTTGCTTTCCGTAGCTTACTACTGCCATCGTCATCCAGGTCACAAGTCTAACACTTTTCTCCGAAGCACCATTTCTAGATGATCCAAACGTTAAACAGCTGTTTGTCGCGTACAAGTTCTTAGACTGTGAACCAGCTGATCTGGAAACACCAATGTCCTTACCAAAACCTCTTCCTGACAGACCTATTTCCTTCAATTTCAAGAAAGGTACTGTCTCAGTTGAAGGTTATTAATTTTGTTGTTAACCCACTTTTCTACAGCATACGTCTACATTTTTCTGACTGATTTAACTGACCTGCGGCTTTTTAGCGGACGTGCTCTTACCAAAACTCCTCGTTTAGCTTAAGAAAGGTACCTTGACTTGTTTGGGTCTGTCTTTAGTTAGCAGTGGATAGTCGGTAGAAAACAAACGAGTCCTTTTCGGGTTTCCTCTTTGACATTAGTGAGCTTACAGAACAGGACGGCAGAAAGAAGAGGACAGGCAAAACGTTTGTGTGTGACAAGCGTGACAAGGCTATTACTTACTTGTTTGTTGTGATGTCACGTTATTTGAATTGTTTTAAAACAAGACTTTTTGTCACGCTTGTCACACACGTTTTGTCGCCTTATTTCCTCCGCCGTCCTTTTGCGTAAGTTCGCTATATGTCAAAAAGGAAGAGCGATGAAAAAACTTTTTTTCACAGTGTTATTGGTTAAAAAACCATGCGCCTTTTTTCCACCTATCAGAAGTGAGTAATTCTAAAGCTAATAGTCCCTATGTGCGCATTTTTCCCGGCCTTGGCACCGGTTGCTTTGGCAACTGAAAACAGCTCTACCTTACGGACGCGATTACCAGTAGAGCGTTCCCACTCACCTGGCTAAAGGAAGGTTTTCCGTATATTTTGGTAAGAAAATGGTTCAACTCTCATAGGACAGGTTTGGAACACCAACATGGCCGCTGCTTCATTGTTTTAAAATATCAATATGGCGGACTTGACTTCATGTAAAAACGTTCTATAGAGTGTTTTCACTATCACATAACGAAAAAAATAACTTTTAAACCGTTTAACTAGAGAAACCAAGAAAAGGAAATGTTACAGAAGACTCATAAATATACAAGTCTCGGGTTAGTTATTTTCGCAAGTCCACGCACTTTTAAGAAGCTTTGTATGGAGACGCCATGCTCGTCTACCAACATGCGACACCAATATAGCGGCCGAAGATCAACAAAAACATCTGGATTTCACTTTTGCGATAAAAAATGCTTTCTTATGCTTATGGACTATTTTACAGGTGCATAAGCGCATAAAAGCTTTCCTTTTTATGGTTTAAAAAGTTAACTCACAGATACCTACATTCTAGCACCAAGTGCCTTCGTGTTTTCTGAATGCAACTGTGTCGCTTTTCTGAATAAGAGTACGGTCGGGAGGGGCAGGGGTAGGGGTAAAGGGTGTGGGAACAGGAGGGTGGGAAGTGATACAAGAACTTTCTGTTCTGACAAATGAGTTAAGCAAGTCTATTACCACAGGGTTCTCAATAGATTTTTAAGTAGGAGGTGATCACTGATAAAGTAGGAGGCTCTTCAGCAAAGCCAGAGGTGTCAAAACAAAGCAAAGAAAAGCGACTTAAACACAAAGTAAGCGGCTATAAATCCCAAAGTAAGCGGCGATCAATCGCCGGGTGCCGCCTTCTATTGAGAACCCTGCTGTAATACCACCATTAAAAAATTGTTGTGAAGTTTTCTCTCTAGGGAGGCTGAGTCTGCATAGTAAAGAATATTATGATATTTTTCGAAGAAACGGTGATAAAAGCAGTTATGGCGCTATCATGACAAAAGAACCATTACACTTCACCGTTATGTCTGAAGGAGCTCTCTTTATTACGGTAAACATTTTTGTGAACTTCAAGTAGCACCTTCGCTACAAACGAACAACATTGATTAACAAGACGACTGTACTTTTAATATCACATGGCATATTGACGGCGTAATCCGCTTAAACAGGAGCGTGTTTTGGATGAATATCGTATTCTTCTTCCTCGTCTTCTAATGGTACATTGAGCGAAGACGATTTTGCACGCTCTGGTATTTCATCTAGAAACATGTCCTTTTTATTGTCCACCTGTAATTTGCCATTGTTACGGCGACGTCGCCAAGCATCGCTGAAAACAGGAGTGTAAAAGTGAACTTTGTTGTCGCACATTCTCCATCAAAACATCTAAATATTCTCTATTTAAAAAATTGGAGAGTAGAGAGAGGTTTGTTTGAAGATTTGGGGTAAAAATACCGAACACGTTTGGTTTTCCCGATCGCCGATTTCTATTTTCTGGTAGTAAGAGACAGTGTACAGGGCAAAGTTTTCGTCTTTGAATGCTGAACCGTGATTTATGGCCAAAAACGTTTCTCCTGCCAAGTGTGATGCTTAACACTGAGAAGAACACTAGTTTTCCACCCTCACATTCAGAGACACTTCGATACTTTAACTTAAAGGCACTTTTAAGTTGCCTGAATTATAGCTCACCTGTCATCAAGAAACAGAGATGAAAAGAACTGCAACCCAGAACTTGTTCATTTTGACTCTGTAGTAGATTAATATTAAGTCAGTGAAGATATATATGTAAGGAACTGAGCGGTTTGTTACCTCGTTGTTAGCAGGAAACTACCAACATGAATTTGCGGCAAATGTGTAGTGCTAAAAGCGTTGAAAAACTTCTTCATTGCTGGAATAAAGAAAACTTTTAACTGTTATGATGAAAGCGTTACAAAAAGTGAAATTGTTTTCAATGTAAGATTTCTCTGTTAACGATACTGAACATCCTCATCCGTAAATTTCGAGGCCGATGGAAAAGTTAAACCAGTTAACTATATCAGTCCTAGACAGAATGTTATCGGTACTAAGACAGTCAATAAATACAAAGTTTGACAGATTCTTCTACTTTTACCTGGCTCTAAACTGAAAGCACTGACAGCAAACTGTTCAAACTGTTTGTGAACGCAGGGATTCTTTGAATGATATCTTGTTGTACACTGGGGCTACTTTTATAATACTGTTCCTTGTAGCGGCTGTTTTCAAACGCACTTGAAACATTGCAAGGCTGTTAACGATTTGGCAAGTACCCTTTTCCAACAGTAAACTCCAAATTACAGTTTATTCTTTAGCGAGAGTTACTTGCAAAACAGGAATGCATGCAAAACGAAGAGCGTGTGTAAGACTAAGTGTTCGTAGGAACTTGCTTGGCAATCCTACAGCTGTGCCATCTGGTTACATCATTAAAACCTCGCAACTTACAGCTGATATCCTCTTCCAAAGAAAAAAACAAATCTTGAATAACTGATTATCACTTTTATGAATACGCTACATAATTACATATCGTGGCCAAATACCTTTCTTCGTATATACTGATCAATCACCCCGATTTGTGTTACTCGTATCCCTGTGTTTTTCAGCAGCTCTTTACGATTTTTTCCTAATCTCGTTCTCATTGAATAAATGTCTGACTGACAAGGAAAATGCAATCTCCATACTGAAATATCAACCCAGAAACACTTTTACTGAAAGATTAAAGATTTGAAACATTTTTTTTTTTTTTGCAAAGCAAACATTCTGATATTTTCTTTTATCCCGTATATGTAACTTACAATTACACCTGTTGCCTGGGTGTGTTTCGCTTAATTTTAAGAATTCATTCATGATATAGAAAGTTTACATTTCTGTTTTAATGAAGAACTTGTTGACACAGCACATTTCGTAAAAAAGGGTCCGTACGTTTCTAAAGCAAAACAATCAAAGAACTCCCCCCTCGCGTCCAATTGACGTGTTCAAATAACACGGGTTGTATCATAATATATTTGCAGGAAAAAAAAAACAGCTGAAATGTATGTGTTATAAACGGCTTTGCTTTTGGCTCCAGTTTTTTGGGGAATAACATATGATTAAAAAAAATAAGTGTTGTTCGAAGAACACTGTTAAAACGAACAATGTCTGGCCTTGAAAAACCCAGCCGTGTTATTAGCGGTGTTGTATCACATCATGATACTTATCCTATCCGAACTTTTTAACGACACGAGAAGTTTAATTCACTATCTTTTTTTTGGATATAATAAGTATGTACCACTCAAACGCTAATTTGCGCACTCTGAACGCTCTACTTTCAAGAAAAACGCCTTGCTGTTTGTTAGATTGATTGCTTTACTTGGTCTCATTAAGAATTCATTTGGTCATATTACAGGGAAAGGACCTTTAGTGACTCCAAAAAGTGGTCATTGGCCGTAATGACGTATTTTAAAATGTTCGTATTGCATCTAAGGAAATGACTTGTTAACAAACCGAACCCCTCTTGTTAAAAAAAAGATTCAACGCGCAGTAATCATCCTTTGTAAATCATTGTACATCACCAATTGCAGATGTTTGATACCTGATTTATATTCAATAAGAGTGATCAACATCAATTTTCTCGTGACAGTGTCGATACATAATCAAAAGAAATAGTCAGGAGGATGAAGAAATATGAACAACTTGAGAAAATATGCTTTGATCTTTTGTCAAATTCTCCCAACTAATTCTTTAAGGAAATGTATGGAGATCAGTTCAGAGAATTTGTATGCGGATATCGGGGCTTAAACATAACGACCACTTTGAGACCCCGTTTACACTACACTAGTCTCCTTCGCAGCCGTTTTTAGGCTTGTCACGCAACACTCCTGCGTTGCGTGACGAGCCTAAAAATGGCTGCGAAGGAGACTACGTTTACACATGTGACGTCTGGAAAAATTTTTGAACGGACGAATTTTCAACTGTGCCGTTCAAAAACCTGCACATTTCCGCGAGTGCCGACTTGTAAACCAAAGGCGGATCCATGTATTTGGGTTCAATTTTTCTCAGTGATTTATTTTTGATGTGCTGTCAACAAGTTCGTCATTAAAACACAAATGTAGTGACTTGTAAAATGTAAAATGAATGAATTCTTAAGCAACCGAAACACACCCATGTAACAGGTGTGATTTTCAATGTGATATGTGAGAGAGTCAATTGTTAAGAGAATATTAACTTTGCGAAAAGCATTTCAAGTTCTAAACCTTTCAGTATTTTTGAATTTTTATTTTAGTTGGAAGACTGCAATTTTCTCAGTAGGAAACTACGAACTATGTAGACTGTATTTCTTCTATACCTCTCTTGGGTACGTACCCTGGATCATTTTCACTTTCAAAATAATATAATATGTGTTCCTACTATAAGAACAAAATCAGGCAAGTGGAAACAACCACTGAATGGGAAAAATGACTGACATTTTACCACAATATTCAATCATTTAGCATATAGAAAAAAGTACTTTTTCGTTCTTCCAGTTTAGGTTTTCTTTTGCTATTTGATGGAACACATCAGGTGTTAGCAACAATGTTTCAATGATGTAACCAGATGGTACAGCTGTCCGATTGCCAAGCAAGCACCTGCAAACACTTGCACGCGCTCTTCGTTTCATACATTCATTGTTTTGCACTAAACTGACGCTAGAATAATAAACTGCAATTTTAAGGTTAATTGATAAACAAGGAAACCCGCTGAATCATCAACACTGGTTTTAAAAGGTGAGGAGTGTGTTTGAAAACAAAACCAGTCCCAGAACTGAACAGTATTATAAATATGGCTCCTGTGTACAGCAAGAAGTCAGTAAGTCAATCCGAAGTCCTCTGCTTTGTGAGACGTGCAATCGTTCAGCTTTGTGCCAGGTAAGAAGGAGGAATCCTTCTCTTATTAAATTCATTGACTATATTCTGGTCAACTTTGCAAATCAAAGTACCGGACTTAGATTTTTCTATCCGGTACAATAATAAGTTTTACAACAGTCTGTTTTTGCGCTGCAATTTGCGCTGTGAATGAGACATTCAGTATACTAAGCAGAATGCATATAACACTGGAAAAAACTCCTTCTCTGAATAGAATTTCACGTTTTCTAACGTTTTCATTGCATAATGGTTTAGATTTTTCATGTCTTTGTTAGCCTGCGTGACTCGTCGCTCCTCTCGCGGACGCGCAAAATTGCCTTTTCCTTTCCCCTTTCAGGCAAATCTTTATGTTTGTAATGAAGTAGAATTTATGCGCTTCTAACGGCATCCTTTGGCTTCCTTTTGTTTGTTTGTTTGTTTTTTGTTGTTGTTGTTGTTGTTGTTTTTTGTTTTTTTTTCCAACAAAACAAACCGCTCAGTTTTTTCCTTATACTGAATATAATTTCACTGTTTAAATATCAGTTATTTTTACGGCAGGAATTAAAATGAACAAGTTCTGGGTTGCAGTTCTATTGATGTTTGTCGTTGCATCTCTGTTTCTTGATGACAGGTAAGACGGATTACCTTACAGTGCCTTAAATGTATAGACTTGTGAGTTGCTCTGAATAAAACGGTGGCCGAAACCCACTGTTGGTGTCAATGTTAGGTGTCACAGGCGAGAGTCCATGTCAACGCAATTCGATTTAGGATTTTAAAAACAAAATAAAATTGCTTCACTCTGTCCTTAACAGTCACAAATAGAAATCTGCCGTCGATAGAACCGAAAGTGCTTAATGGTACGTATCATAAGCCCCAGAGTTTCATGACCATGTTCTACCCAATATTTTTCAAATACAAGTTAAGGATAATTAGATGCTTTGATGGAAACGTTAAGACAACATAGTTCATTTTTATTCCCGGTTTTCCAGCGATGCTTGGCGAAGACGTCGCCGTCGTCGTCGCAGCGGATTGCAGATGGACGATAACGATGTCAACCCTGCTGATCTAAAAAAGGACATGTTCCCGGATGAATTACCCGAAGGTGCACCATCGTCTTTGTTCGATGAACCATTAGAAGATGAAGATGAAGAATACGACGTTCATCCAAAACACGCTCCTGTTTAAACGGATCAGTATTACATTATTTCACCGAAAAAGACAAATGTTATATTCTAAATACAGTCATGTAGTTGATGCTGTTCGTTTGTAGCCAAAGATGTACTTTAACTTTCATATACAAACATTTATTGTAATAAAGAGAGCTCCTTTATTTATTCATCACCGTGAAGTGTAAGTGTTATTTTTTACCGTGTTTGTGGCGATAGTCGTCCGTCGAAAGGCACTTTGAAAACTGCGTTGAGATTTTTTACTGTGCAGACTCAGCCGATTGGGAGTGTATTGGGCCATTTTCGAGTTCTTTAACTCTCACTTTCAAAACGAGACTAAGTGCAAAACCTTTCTTGTGGAAAAATCACTTTCATATCAATAGCTTCGCACTTAGCCTCGCTTTGAAACAGAGGTTTGGAACAATTCGGAAATAGCCCATTATATTGCGCCATTCAAGCCTCAGTGTGAATGGTGTGAATGGTGAAAGGTTTTTGATCCTAAAAACATGTTTTAAAGCTGCCTAGTTAGACACCGTTGTGACTCTATTTTTGTCGGCTACAAATTTAGCACAATGAAAGCACAAATGATAACCTACTGAAATCCTGTTAAATCCAGTCCTTCAATTTCCTCTGATAGATCTTCAAATTGTGGGTATTTACCAAACATCTTTGTATATTGCGAGTGTAAGAAGCCGAGTTTTCAGGAAATTTTTGTAATTTAGTCAATTAAGTTTACAATCATGTAATTGTATATTGCAAATATAAAAAGCCGGCCGATCGCGAGTTTTCAGGAAATTTTTGTTCCCTTGTGTTAGAATGACACAGTGGAAAACATGCAAGGAGCATATATTAGAAAATAATTTTTTTGTCATTAAGGAATGTTCAAGGCCAACAAGAAGCGTTATTCCGATTTCGACTGTCTCATATCGAAGAAACGCCTTAACTCAAGTGCTTTTTTCGACTGGACAAGAACGATTAACGTACCATGTGTGAAAACAATCCAACTCAAAGTCACTAAAAATGTCCCGAGCCTTAATTTTGATCAAGTTTACCAGACAGTAAAAATGCGATTAAGTTGCCCCTTTAAGTTCTCCTCATCTTCCCCTCGACCTCAGGGGAAAAAAAGTCTCTGTTTTCCCTGGTGCCAATCAAGGGCAAGCAAGGAAGGATATTCCTCATTTCCCATTTCATAATGGTCGAGGCGTCATCATGAGCAGCCGATCGTTGGTTGTGGCAACTGGGCCGATAAAAGTGCAAGGATTGGCTTAAAAAACTACGCAATGAACCATTTGTTTAGTACCTAGGCCTTAATTGATATTTAAAACGTTATATAACTTCACCGGACGGCAATCGAGTATAACTTTAATTCTCCAGATTTGTTCCCATTTTTACACTAAGTCAAAATTTTGTGTAGTGACAAAAGTGTGACCAACTAACTTAGCTATGGTTTAACCAGCATTTTTTTATCTTAAAAAAACGTTGTCTTTGTCATCTAGTCTGAGTTTCAATCAATCCTTTCATTTCTAGAGGTTGGTAACCTCGAGCTTAAAGACATATTATTATTGTGTAAAATAAATAGAAATAGCGGCGTGTAAAAGTAGTGCTCAAGAGGTTTCATTTAAATGGGCACACCACATGATTTTGTCCACAGCCTTGTAACCAATATTTACGTAGGACATTGAAGCACCATAGGACAAGTTTCGTACAGGTCATAGAAAACCTGGAAAGTCAGGAAATTTAGGCCTGGAAAGTCGTGGAACTTAATATTTGGTCCTGGAAAGTCATGGAAAATTAAAGCTGTGTTTGTTAGATCAGTTACTGAATATGTCGAAGCAACTAAAATTATGACAAAGACAAGCAATTAAACAGTGCGAAGGCCAGGCATTCAGGTTTAGGCCAGATTCTCTGTTTGTTGCATGAGCTGAGTTATGTCAAAAAATACCACAAACAAGGATAATTTTGAAATTTTTCACAAGCGACAGCTAAACTTAAGAAGGTCGGCATGAACGACTAGATAAGGTCATGGAAAAAAGTAATGGGAAAACAGTGAAATCATGGAATTTGAAGAGTTCAAAAGAGTTCGAACCCTGTAGGAGAGTACTGCTGTTGAAGTGGTTTCACCATTCAAGGTCCTACCACAGAACTTAAACCAACAGTGTTAAAAGTTAGAACTTCCACAAAATCAAATTTTAGAGCCAAGTAAACTCTCTTTATAACTACAATGACTCTCAGATTAAACGTCGTAATTTGCTTTTCATTTCAGTTTTCCATGTGGATGCTGAGAAAAACGCAGCAAAACGAAACTTTCTCAAATACATGCTCTCCAATGACCCCAAGTAAGTTTTCATGTTCTTGTTGTTTTTTTTAATAAATGAAAGCAGGTATAGTTCTAACTTTCAACTTATCTCCATTACATAAGAGGGGTGTCTTGCAACGGGGAACTATATTTTAAATAGCTGTCTTTTATGAACACTTTGACGAAGCATTGCGAGTGTGAGCTTATTAACCCTTTAAGCCCCAATATCCACATACAAATTCTCCAAACAGAACTTCATACATTTCCTGTAAGAAATTGTTGAGAGAATTTAATAAAAGATCAAGGCATTTTCTCTTTGGTGATCATTTTAGCAATTCTCATAACCTTTTCTCTTGACAATGTAGGGATATTGTTTGGAGAAAATTGATGTTGGTCACTATTGGGTTATTATGTGTTTCTAAGAAGAGAGTCAGAGAGTGTGGCTCGCATTCTTTCTGATTGTGCCTCACACTCAACTGCGTGCTTTGTTTTGTTACTAGACTCGTGTTTACTGTGGTCAGTGATCCATCTGAAGACGATGATGATGAAGGAGACTGTGTGGATGTAGCAAATGCTTCCGTAGATTTTATACAAGTATGTGCCTTACTACACTGTTCGATCTTAGTTCTCAGTTATTTTTCCTTAGATTGATTTCGATGGCGAGCGCTGACTTCGAAAGGCCGCCATCTTGATTTTATATGGAGATGGAACTCTGGAAGGGAGTGCAATTGGCTAGTTTCGAATTGCATGCTGAGTTGAACAAAACAAAACTGAATTGCATCGAGATTCGGGGATTAATAATTCATTCCCTCAGCCTCTTAAGTTTTATTCTCAACTTGTCTATTTCCCTGCCGGTATTGTGAATTGAGAGTGGAGGCGGTAGTTTTTAGATCTTGTTTCCTCCGGCATTATACACCCTAGTGCCCGTCTTTTCGATACTCTTGATACCAAGATGGAAAGGCATTCCTTCATAGTAAGCGCTCGATTCCGACGATTTTACGGGAATATAGGAGACTGTAAAGAACTTAGCACAATTCCGAATATAGGTCGCACTAAGGAGGCTAGGTTCTGGTTGTCCCCAAGTTAAATCCCGCTCTCACCTCTTGCGGGTGTTATTTCTCGGAAAACTCTTCGCCAGTTCAACTTCTCATAGTTTCAAACTTGTAACTACTGAGGAATTTGTCTGTGTCATGCTTATGGGATAAAGATTGTCACATATTCCTTCTCAGTATCAAAGCATAAAATGCTCATTCATTCATGCTCAGTCCTACAACCCTGGTCAAAACTCTTGGGACACTAACGCAATAGTAGCCTTCGAAAACATCCGTTTCTCCTCGCTCTTCGCCGCTGTGGACGTTTCGCGCGGAGGAACGTCTGCGACTCAGCGACAGAAATTCCATACTGATCACGTAAAATCTGTCCGGAATCCGGTCAGAAGCGATGATTGGTCGACGGAGTAGTTACATTGTTTTAGCTATTGTTTACGAATGACAGACGAAAGACAAAAGGCCACAAAGGTCAAATGTAAACGTGAAGAATCTATAACAAAACAGTCAATATTTGTGGAATATAGTCCTCTCTAGAAGAAGCATTTGAGTTTTGCTGGAGTTCGTTGGCAGATGAACACAACACTTTCCCAAAATCGACCACGAAACGTAAAATTGGACAAATTTATATTTGGAACCCCATGACCACCGGATTTATTACGTAAACATTGATTTGCGTCATCAGTATGGAATTTCTGCCGCTGAGTCGCAGACGTTCCTCTTCGCGAAACGTCCCCTGCGGCGAAGAGCGAGGAGAAACGGATGTTTTCGCAGGCTAACGCAATAGCTTGTCAAATTGAGGCATCTTCCCTCCCCCCTTCCCCCTCGGTGCAATGTTGGCGTTATGCATTCAAGTTTTAATTCAACACAATCAACACTGCTTGGGGAGAGGGGGAGAGCAGAAATAGCCCCTTATAACAACATCTCCAAGCCTTTTTAAGTGGTAGAATACGAGTTAATTTAGCAAAGTGCGTCTTTGTGCCTAATTTCCTCAAGTGTCCCAAGACGTTTTGACCAGGGTTGTAGTCTCCAAACGCGATCGACAAAATTGACAAATGGCCTTTTTGAAGTCATCAATACCAATTTAATTAAGGCCGTTTATGAAGTTAACAGTACTATTTAACGCGTGTCTCCGTTTAACCTGCCATGAAAAATAGACACCCTACCCCCAAAAGTTTTGCGGTTTGAGCGTTTCTTAACATGTCTGTGGATTATCATATCTTCAGAAATAAGGAACTATTAAGCAAACTGCTTGTAATCTCTTCTCCTCGACAGATATTAAACGAAGGAAAGGACTTAGTTGACGGTGATATTGACTGTAAGTAATTAATCATGATTACCATGGTCGTTTATGATTGGTTGAATGATCTCGCCCAACTTTCTCATTCAATAGCTACAGTAAAGCCATTCCATTCTTCCAGTTGGTCACACCGTTTTCCCGACGCAAAATCCGGCCGTTTATGTGTATTTATCTTGAGATCTGTGGATCAGTTTATTTGAGCGCTTGTTCGAAATGTGATTGGTGAGAGTCATGACGACATTCTTTCTAAGATTGTTGTTGTTGCCAGCTTTGAGTAGCCTTGAAATATCGCACATTCATGTTTTTAGCGACGATTTCAATGCTGACGCCGACTACGTGGTCGCTCAAGCACCTTGACGGCTTATGTCACAGACCTTCTGCCCTTGGGTGTTGGAGAGGTGAAAGGCTTCGTCACATGCCAATAAATTTTATAATTCTATTAAAATGGAGTCACCCTTGCGCTCCCTCATAGCTTTTTCCGCCTTCAGTCAGAATGCGGCGGGAACTAGAAATGGTCGGAGGCAAAGAACGAAATTAAGTCCAAAAAAAGATAACTGCAAAATCTAATGCAGTGCACTTCAGAACTTAGACTGCGAGCAGTTGCTTCGGTAAATTATTTCACTTTTCACTCTTAAAAAGGGTCGATTTTTTTATCATTATTATTACTATTAGTACTCTAAAGGGTTTCGTTTATCGTTTGTCTCAGTCACGATTGTCACATAGATTTTGGTTGGTTGGTTGGTTTACAATGGAGACTGAGAATGACAACACAATTCCCTTTCTTGACACGTTGGTCATAAAAGATTCAGAAGGACGCCTCACTACAAGTGTTTACAGGAAAACTACGCACACTGATCAGTACCTGTCTTGTGACTCACACCACCCTCAATCAGTTAAACACGGTGTTGTCAAGTGCTTGTATGATCGATCGAAAAATATTATCACCAAGCCATCTGTTATCTCTGAGGAAAAGAAGCATTTATCCTCTGTCCTTGTCTCTAACGAATACCCCTGTTCTTTTGTAGCTAACGTCACGAAATCCAAGAATCAGCCGATATCTAGTAAAGACCCCACAACAGAAATTAAATCCACAGCGGTTCCACCATACCTCAAAGGGTTATCTAAACAACTTCGTCGTTGCCTGCAAAAGCATGGCATACGATCTGTTTTCAAGTCCGATACAACACAGACTTTCAAAAAAGTCCTTCGTCGGACCTCTCGCGACTTCGTCGCTCGCGGTCGGCCGCTTCGCGGACAAAAAAGGCTCGCTCCGCTCGCCAGTAGATCGACTTGTAGCAAGTCTAGATACAACACTAAGATCACACTTAGTGCGACCTAAGGATGCTTTTTATCCGCGAAAACAAGGTGGTGTAGTGTATAAGACTCATTGTGAATGCGGCAATATATGCATTGGCGAAACAGGCAGGTGCATGCATGAACGGGTTAAGGAGCACGATAGGGTTATACGGCTTTCGCGAACTCAGTCGTTTCTGGACATGCCAATAAGACCTGGCTTATCCGCTCTGGGAGGAGGTTAAGTTTATTGACCGATACCCTCACTGGTACTCTCGTAGAGTTAAAGAGGTTACTCGCACAAGACATCACCGTAACAATATTAACAATGACAGTGGAATTGAGATTCCTGAAGCGTGGATGTCTACGATCAGACGACTTAGCAGCCGACCGCTACCACAATGGATCGCTGAGGAAACAGGTCCTCGCCCCCCCAACGATAATGGGATCGAAACCCACCAACGATAAGCGCAGTTAGTGATACACCAATCACTAACAACCACGGTGGTATAAAACGTTCTAGTCAGTAAATGGACATGATCACCTGATGAAGACCTGCAGCATGCGTTCGAAACGTCGCGATCAGTTTCTATGTGAGGCAAACGATAAATGAAACCCTTTACAAACATTATCCTCGATGAACCAATATCTTTCATGACACTATTATTCTTTAAGTAAGTTTCGTAGGGGCTGCCCCTGCTTTCCAATAATTGAGCGAGTGCTGTGGTCTTAATGCAGAAAAATAAACAACAAAATAGCGTTTGCTTCTCCTTGGTGTGATTAGAGTTTAAATCATTTAACAAAATGACCCTTTTTCATGTTATTTCTAATTTCAAAGTCCCTGGCCTCAGCCTGATTTACCTTGCGTTTAACTGCATGCGTTTAGTTGCGTAGAATATCACGCACAACATTCTTTCCCGGTCTTGATTGCAGTGTATGATATAGAGAGTGATGAGACTAAGATTGGAACGCTGACCGTCACAGTGGAAGCGTCAAAGGCTCTTTTGGACTTGTACAACGACGAATAATCCCATCGAAAGAGATCTACTAATGCTTTTGAACTTGTGCAATGACTGAAAACTACTTCGAATGTGATTCATCACTTGTGCTCGTCGCCGTGCTGTTCACTTTATTTCACCCAGCCAAAAGGAAAGACTCCGGCAAGTAATGGAGTTTATTTATTGCAAATACCTGCTGAGAGACGCTCTTTGTTGGATGGATACATCTATCAAACTCAAACGCGAATTGTTCACTGATACAAAAAGGGTGAAATTTGGAAAATTCAAGGACTTCAAGACACGAAACAGAACTAACCCTGACCTTTTGTATCCAGCACCTAATTTATTAACGAACAACGCTATTGCCGGCCAGAACATGCGTTTGTACTTCGTACTATAATGTGAATTGACTAGGTCTGCATTCGCAAACTGACTTCGCTTTGGTAAGAAACTTGATCGAATTTGTACAGACAACGCTCGTCAGATAAGCAGCAAACCAAGTTGTTTACATTTATGAGAACGGATATTTCTTATGGCTAAGCTGTGTTTTTTCTTGACCAGCATTTTATAACTATTCGAGGATTTTTAGATCTTAACTTGTTTTTAAATATATTATGTATTATATTTTGTCTTAACTTATTTACTGTAAATTTTTAGCAAATAAAAATCACTTTAAATTCAGTCTCCCATCCCTATTTTTTGTCGCTTTATTTTTTCAAGCCAACATTCTGCCAACGCCATTATGACATAGTGTAAGGTGTAGTTGATAATTCTGTGTATTATCCTATTTAACTATATCAGGAGCCCATATAGGCTCCTGGCTATATCACATTCTTCAGTTTTTTTTTTCTTTTTTCTGTTCCTGCAATGTAACCCTTATCATTTCCCAACCTTACAACCATTACGGAATCGCGCCTGTAGATTTTGCAGGCGACACGGATCCACAGGCGCCGTTCCGTAATGCTTTTATTAGTTGCATGTTCAAATATAATTCCTTCTTGCTTATTTCCTTGCACCAACCTAAATTTGTTTCTTTCCTTCTCTTTGGATCTTAGAACAAACACATTTTTTGTGGCTCAGGCTCCCGTAAAGATATTGAAAACCTAGACAACAGGTAGTCCATTGTTGTGTTAAAAGATCAGAGCGAGCGACATACCCATCACTTAAGCGGAAAAAAAAAATTCGCTCTCGTGCCTGTTTCTCTTTCTACTATCCCTGAGTGCGAAAAATTCGTAACACACCGTGAAAAACGGCAGTGGGCTTTACAAGAGTAATATAATAGGCTGATTTAGCAACATAACGGGAACGTCAGTTGACGACGGCACGCGCAAATCAAAGAACTGGCTTGAACAATGGCAGAGCGCCAAATTGGGCACCGTAAGTCGCGTTTAGTCCTTTCCGCGCGCTTTCCCGTCGTCAACTGACGTTCCCGTTCTGTTGCTAAATCAGCCTAATGATTATAAACAGGAGTCCATAAACCGGCGCGTGCAAATCCGGTTCCTAGCCTATACAACGGCGTTAGTTTTTAGCATCATTTTTGAGAACTTTTCCCGCAAAAATGGGGCGTGGAGGCTCCACTTCCCACAAAATGTGAAAATCTGTCGTATGATACAGTATATGATAAAAAAAAGAAAGAATATGCCATTACAACATCAGATATTGTGTTTTCTGGTCTCCAACTATCGCTAACTTATTTTTCAAATTTATTTGATAGTGGAAATTTGCGGCAAAATCGCCTATTTAAAAAAAATGGTCTGTGAAAACGCCTTTGCATGGGCACAAGGGAGTTAATCAATCCGGGTTATGGGCTCCGTTTTCAATATATACCAGTAACATATATACTCGTTTAGATTAGTGTACTCGTTTATAATTCTATGTTTATATTTTTGGCAAATTTGTCTTGAGCTAACTCGTCTACCATAAACGAATTCCGAGAAGTACAACAGTTAGTTTGCTGCCATCTTTTCATCGTTATCTATCAGACGGGCTCGCTCCACATTATAGCTCCCCTGTTTATGTACACGGCACCTCCACACAGCCACGATCAACAGCACTACCAAGCAAAGGAAACCCAGCACTCCACCGATAAGGGCGACCAAAAAACCAGTGTTGTCGTCATTATCAACCTTTTAAAGAAGTTAAAAGTATTTAGTAGGTAAAACAGTTGACATTACTCCACCTGAAAATCCAGCCATTTAATAATTACAATTATATGCAGCATTATAATGCAATTGATGCTTACTCGTACACTAGACTGATCCAAATAGTTTTTCCTCATACATATAACTGACCGTCATTTATGATTTTTTTTTGGCCCTCCGGCAATAAAATAATCAGGTTACTTTGTTTTGCGAACATATACCAGTCTTTAGTACTCCCACTCCCGTTTGAGCATTTCACAGGTAAAGAATACATTTCGTTTGCTCTGCATTGAACCCAGTTAATAAATATAGTAGTATTTCTTACCTTTTTGAAAGTGCTTAAGAAGATGCGATGCATGGCGTTATCCCAAATCTTTCGGTCTCGTAACTCAAGCTCGGTCAAATCATTACACGCGGACACCAGCAACCCGTGTTTTCCGACGGCGTATCGATCGTACTCGTCAATTGAAAGATCGTAAACAGTAAAGAGAGTTAATTGTTCGGACGACGCAAGTAGTTCCGAGGCCTTGAGGTGAGCCTGCAGTTTCACCATTTTGCCATGCAAACCCTGAAGCGAATGTGACGCTGTTACATTTCCAGCTGTCATCCAGGAGCCAGTAACAGTCTCAAAGAAAGGATGTTCGCGCGTGACCCACATGTCTTCGTCATGCATTCTGAACACAACAAGATCCTTCTCGGTTACGTTTCGTCGCCGAACCTGGTCAACGCGACGCAAGTGAGTCACGGAGGGAGCCTCATTCTCATGTCGAGTCACGACCATGTCTCCTTCCTTGATAGTTTCGATCGGTACCAGTCCTCTGGCGGTGTGAACCAAGGTGTCTCCTTTGAAGCAAGACTTTAACAAGCAGCAGTCATGGTGCCACTTAGGGCGACACTGGATTGCACTGGGATTACTGCAGTCACACGTCTGCGGAGGGCAGCACTTTGGACACTGAATCGTGTCGCACTCGCTCCCAACATAAGGAGGATGGCACTGGCATTTGTAAGGATCTTCTTTACACGAACCGTGGTGGCATGGGGTCAGGCAAAATTGGATTATCTTGCAAGGTCCTTTGAACATATTAAAACCAGGGACGTGGATTTCATTGGTCCACCCATAGTCGCAATAACATGATTTACCGTCGCTGTCTAAATGACATCGCCCATGCGCGCATCCATCGCACCTCTGTTCAGAACATAGTAGACCAGTATAACCTTTAAAAAATGACAAATCAACGCGTATTCAATTAGGTACCGTTTTTACTATTTCGTGTAGTACCCGTGCAGTGGATGGCTACAGCTATCGGCTCTGGGCACTGGTAAAAAATATATATAACTATGCATTATTTAGTTGGCTTTACTTGAAAAACCACTAGCAATGATTTTGTGTGGTGTTTCTACAGGAAGGGAACATTTTTTGTGAGAAGCAAGTACCAAATTGATTCGAAAATGAAAGTGATTGTAAGCAAATGTCAACACCTGGAAAAGATAAAAAGAGGACAAATGCTTTCCTGTTGTTGTAAATGACTTTTCTCTTTATTCCAGCCACTGAGATACTTCCTTTCGCACTAGATAGACTCCTAAACAAGTCTGAGAACAGGTTCCTTTCCGAGAAAAAAGATCCTATCCTAACTAAATTGACATCACGTTTTGAAGAGCTCGTGTAAACAGGATTAGAGAACAAACAAACCTGATTTACACTTGCACGTATAAGGACCATTCTCGCAGGTCCCTCCATGAGAAGAGCAGTTGAGGCAAGGGCCTTTGTAAACATTGCATTTTCCTGGAGGCCCCCAATTGGTCTCACACTCGCACAAATCAGGTTTTTTGGAACATCGTCCATGTTCACAGGGCACGCTGCATCCAGTGATGGTTTCACACTGCTCCCCTAGATTAACACAGATGGAAGATTGCACCGCCTTTTTTTTATCAGTGGCCTATTCGCTACCCTGCGAGCAGAGGTTTCTCTCTTGCACGACTTTTAGCATTAACGAAGTCGTTCGCGTGGCTTGTCAGCCTAGTAGTTGGTTTGTTTTATACGACCCAGGAGGGCGTTTCCAACTACGCGACACACAAGCCTCGCGAACGACGTCGTAAACACTAAAAGCCATACAAGAGAGAGATCTTTGCTCGCAGGGTGGCTATTTGCGGGATCAACAGACCTACTTTAGAAACGGTAGTGCACTTTCAGTGTTTTTGTTCTTCTAAGTGAATTAAAAAGAAGGACTTTTGACAATAGTCATATGTACTGTTACGGAAAGTTATTTGATTCTTTTGCCTGAACAGAAATGTTTATCATTAACAGTTTTTACATGGGGCTGAGCATGATGCGAAGAATTATCATTTGAGTGATCGAGGCAGATACCCTCCGAGATCTGCATAATTCTTCATATAATTGTTTCATTATGATTCATTCAAAATATTTCCAACTTCAACAAAACATGCTAAACTCCAGTCTTCATAAATTTTGAACTTACGCAAAAGGACGGGACATGACGGGAGAGGAAAGAAGACGGCAAACCTTGTGTGGCAAGCGTGACAATAATTTTGTTCCAAAAACTTTTCGCCAAACTTCTCTTTCCTTTAAACAGATCTTTTTGTTAAAGACCAGAAAACATTGATGTTAGTGAAGATCACGACAAAACACGCAAGTAATAGCCTTGTCGCGTTCGTCACGCACACGGCAAGCGATTTGCCGTCCTCTTCTTCCTGCCGTCCAGTTGCGTAAACTCACAAATTTGGCTGGTCCTCGGCATGCAGTGTCAGGATATGAAGGGATGCTTATGCTAATCATGTGCTATTTCTGCTATCTAGTTAACTAAATTTTTATTCTTCGTATAGCGTTTTAAACCTTCCTTTTGTCCCTTTTTTCTGTTGATTTCAGGACAATTGACGTCAATTGTATCGATATCAGCATTTAGCTTCCAAATTTGGTCAGTGCTAGCTAGTTATAAATAATGAGCCAGGCCAATCAGGCAACGTTAGACCAATCAGGAACGGAGAAATATTTTGAAAGAAAAAGAGATGCAGAGTTCTTTAAAAACAAGAAGTTGAGTTAGACTCGCTAGATAAAGTGTAAGAAAATAAATAAATCTAAGTTCGACACGATCAATTTGAGAAAAGGAACCACTCTGTTCCCGGGACTCTGTCGCTCTATTCTTTTTTTTTTTTTTGCAGTGATGATTATTTTATCACATTTTCGCACCTAAGATTTTACTTCTTTGCAAATAGCGTTTCATGAGTAAATGTAAATATTTTGTCTTTGATTTAATGAAAATCATAATCATTTAATGAAACTTGTAGTCATTGTGAAGGTCCGTTGTTTAGGGACCTTTTCAAATGAAGTAAAATGAATGCAAAGTATGTAAGGAAGCGCGAGATGCCGGACAGCTAGGTGAATATCAGGATTTACAATTTTAGATTTATTTCAGTTCATTTGCGTATGTGCAGATGTCTTCATGTATAAAGCAAAATGAACCTAGCCTGCGAGCACGCTATTGTTGATCCGTTTTGTACTTTCCCTGACTTTTGTTTTATTCAGTTTATTTACTATAGTGTGATCTGTAGCTCCCACCTGTGTAATGTGGTGGACATGCGCAGTGCTTCTCATCAACACAGTAGCCCCCGTTCAAGCATTTCCATCCTTCGGCACAGTAAGCCCTATGTGTAACGCCGTGAAAATAGATGATGTATTTCAGTAATGGCGTTGATCAAGAGCCATAATAGGAAAGTGTCCTATTATGATGTCTTGCGTTGATTGAATACCTAGTCGAATTTGTAGAACAATATACAAACATTGTTACCTTTCACATTCTTTGCCATAAAAATTTTCGTAACACTCGCATTTCTTTGGGTCGTTTGGGCATGCGCCATATTTGCACGGAACTTGGCAGAGCGAGCGATCGCACAGGTCTCCCACCCAGCCAGGCTCACAGTCACATTTGCTCCTAGATTGTTTGCAGGATCCATGATATCTACAGGGAAACCAGGGAAAGCACGAACTAACATTTTCACAGTTTGATCCAGTCCATCCTGTCTGGCACCGCTTGCAGTGTATGCCATCAGTGTCGCAGTAGCCGTGTTTGCAAGTAGCATTTAATTTACAGCCAATACTCTCGCAACATTCTCCAGTGTATTTGCCAACTCTAGCCCGCTCGTAACACTCACATGTGTGTGTCTTTTGGTCGTAGTTGCCATTTCCAAAGCACTGCGTATCTGGGTGGCAATGTCCATTAACATCTAACACGAAGTAGAGAATCAAGCAAAGGCCTGATCCAATATTAAGAGTCTTGCGCATTTTGGTGAGTTTTGCAAGAACATCGATCGATCTACCAAAAAAATTAAACGTGATCTATAATATAAATATTGTTCAAATGAAACACTTCACAAGAAAACCTTATAGGCTTACACAGAAGATGTTTAAAAAAATATGACCCCCACCCGAATATTACCTCTAGTTTTCACGTCCACGCGTGATCACCACAAATTAGCCTGCGAGCAAGCTCTCCATTTGGGGGATATCGTGAAAAGTAACACGCGAGAGGAGACGCGAAAGCCCCTCGGCTTCGCTGCTCGCTCGCAAGTGCTCGCGCGGCTCTCTTCGCTCGCCCAAACAGGAGAGCGTGCTCGCAGGCTAACTATAAATTGGATCGAGCGACTATCCACCGATATTTCAGTAAATTATACCTGAAATGTCGTAGGCGGCATGATGTTGTTTGGATAAACCGACAAAATGCAAACGGAAGAATTCGTATGAAATTGATGAAAACTAGAGGTGCAACTTATAAAAATGTTCTTCAACGGAAGTGTGATAAGCGTCGTGACATCGTAGCTACAACACCAACAATGAATGAATTGTTCAATAACGATTGTCATGTGTTAGGAGGCTAAACAGCTGAAAGGTTGTAAAGCCAGAACATGTCAGTCCCAGGTCAAACGTCGAATTTCACATGTGACCAGCCTAATGCTAAAAATTCAAACCGTATTGTTTTTGCTCATTAGCATTAAGTTCAACGTTTGACCCGTCGATTCTCTTTCTCTGTACCAAACATGCATTAAAAAGAGAAAAGAAAAAGAAAGCGATTTTAACATCTTTCCAGTAAGCTGTTGTCATTCAAAACGGTTTCTCGTAACTGAATGTTTGTTGATATGCAAAAACCTGTAGAGGCGGGCTATTTCCTGCGAGGCAGGGGCAAGAGGGGTGCGGGGGGGTGCGCCCCCCCTTGAGATGGGAGTTCAAAAAAAAAAACTATGTGGTTTATTGGTGTTTAGCAGAGCGAGTGCGCCCCTTAGTGTTCACTTTTTAGCAGCCTTAGTGTTAAGAGTAAATAATTCTTTGTATTAAAAGTATTAAGTATATATCGGTGAAATGTCTGAAAACTGTAAAGTGAGCCATGGCAGATAGGCCAATCTATTCTTCCAGCCAGCCAATACTATCAAGGTTAATAGCTTTAAAGAAACCTAAAACTGACAAAGCTTTTGAAAAGATACGAAGCGTGCAAAATTCTTCGCAACTATAACCTTATCACATGTAGAAAAAAAAGTGGGGTAAAATAATATTGAAATGATTTTCATATCACTAGAGAATAGTCGAAGTTGTTTCTCTTCGATAAATTTCCTTGGTGCAGTGGTGTATGTAGGAACATTATCATGTAGCTGTATATTACAGCAGTGCCAGAAATTTGCCTTTTTAACGGTGTGGGCATTACTGTTTGTAACCAAGGCCACTTTTTTATGAGTCTTCAAAAACACATACAATGCGTAAAAAATAATCAGTCATTTGATACTTGACTTCGCGGGTGCCACAGCTCAGATAAATAATATTATGAAAATTTCATAAATTCAGTTTCATGAGTCAATACGAATGAGAGTTGTTAAATCTCTAAAATTACTGTGGCAGATTATTGGCAATTGCCTTATGGCAAAAAAAATTAAAAGTTGCTCACAAATATTTAACTGGCTTATGGTGTACATGTTGTAACTGAAATGAGAGAAACTGTACAGAAGACACTTTTTTCGCCCGTAGATTTCCTAGGAATAGCACACAACGGCTTAATCGCAGAATACCCAGCTATACCCTGCCACTTTTAAGTAACCCAGGCATTTACTTACTTTTCACTGGACGTGGTTTCTCTTCAAACGCGCTCCGATAAACGCCGAGAAATGTCTAAGAATTTGAAAAGGAAATATTATATTTGTTTTTTTCAAGTTTCCCGTGATTATCACTGGCCTTTACAGATTTCTACGTTTGTGTGGTCACGCTTGTAAGCACGCGCTGCATAGGGTGAGATATTAGGAAACAAAAGAATAAACTAGTAATATAGTTGACACTACAGCACACAGTATCCATAAATTCATACGATTCATACGATAGGCTTTTATTCTTCAATACTAACTTGTGAGACAATAAAAATGACAATCCCTGATCACTGGTGTACTTTTCGCACAAGGTTTATAAGTTTACCGTATTTGTTCGAATAACCGCCCAACCTCGAATTAGCGCCCACCTCGAATAAGCGCCCATCCTAAAGGCAGAAAAAGTTAATAAGCGCCCACCCCCTCCTCCTCCCAATCAAACTCAAATAAGCGCTCACCCCCACCCCACCCACTTGAGTGAATAAATTTTAATAAGAGACTTTCCCGAGGACGGAGTTTTCTTCAGAGTATTTTACAGAAACCTTGCTTTGTTACTTCCTCGCGTTTTGGTATTAGCATTTATTGTTTTGTTGCAAAATAAACATACTTCACTTGCTGAAAACGGTGAAAATTTAATAAGCGCCCAGCCTCGAATAAGCGCCCACTCTCAAGGTCCAAAAATTTAATGAGCGCTCAGGGCGGTTAATCGAATAAATACGGTATATGTTTAGAATACCAGAGAGGCTGTATCTGATCTTGAATGCCGGTGACATTAATGCCATCATGAGATTTCGACCACGGACTATACCTATTATAACTACATAAATCGTCACCCATGCATAGCTGACCTTGATCTGACAAAGGGGGAGGTCAGATGCCAAGTTTTAAATCAGTTCAGATGCCTTACTGTCGAATTCAAACATGCTACAATGATCAAGAAAGCCCTCCTCCCAAGACAACTGTGTGCTTTCTGAATTTTTCCGCGGTCACATTTTGAAAAATACGAAAATAAAATGCTAACATTCAAACTAAAAAAGTCCAAACAGGCTTCGTTTCCTTTACAACAGTTTGTACACTTTCATGCAATTCTATCATTGTCACTGATCAATTCTGTCTCTGATACTGCCATTGAGGTTATGCTCTGCACACTAATTCTAAACTTAGCTGAGCGAGAATCTGCTACAACAGAGAATGTCTGCAATCTTCAGTCTTTTTCTACAATTTTCTTGCAGCAACGTTCTATTTCGGTAAAAGCCTTAGGAGTGGGCCACCAGTGGCTGTAGCTCTGTACGTCGCTTCTTGTGGCCACGATACTTGATGATAAGAAACAACGCCACCACCAAACACATGGCAGCCAGTACACTTCCGACCACTATAGCCACGGTGGGACCTACCTCGCCCGAATTACCGGTATCAGAGCGATCGTCGTTCAAGTTCAGCTCTTCTTTGGCGACCTGGTTACCAAACAATACAAAAAACCTGTTACAGAGATATTCGATAGGTAAAACATACCTCGCATCCAAGTTATTTAAAATGGACTAAAAGAGTTTGAAAACTAGTTAGACCTACATTACTTTATACTGATCCAGGGGTATGGATGGTTACTGTTGGACAACAGGACTAAGCAAAATCCGTGTTCGAAGTGCGGACTCCCGTGTAATTTTATCCAATCAAGAGTCAGTATTCACTCAGAGATATTCCATTTTTATCTCCCTCATAGACAAAAAGTGTAAATGATACCTCGTATGGACTAAAAGAGTTTGAAAGTTAGACCCACATTACTTTGTGCTGATCCAGGGGTATGGATGGTTACTGTTAATGTGAAAGGTTTAAACCCAGGAGTCATTTCAAAACTAGGTTGAGTTTGATCGTCCGGGTGATCTGTTAATGTTGCTGCTAAGGTTACTGTTAATGTTGCAAAACAAGTCGCAAGTTTTTAATTCGTTGCCTGTTTTACCATAGCTCTACGACTGGAAGACTTAGTGTGCTGTATGTTTTTCTCTGTCAACGCCTCTTTGCTTTCTGGCTGACTCTTTAATTCAAACCTCACTTTAGTTACCTCAGATGTCTGTGTTTCACCAACTGAGCTGCTATCGAACTTTGGATGCGCTGCTTCACCCCAGACTTGCTTGTCCCTGTGCTCCAAGTCATCCGAGTTGTTACACGCAGACACGAGCAGCCCATCTTTCCCGACGGCGTATCGATCGTACTCATCTACAGATAGATCGTAAACAGCAACAAGACCAGACTCGTCGGCTGAGGTGAGAAGTTGCGACGCCTTCAGGTGATTCTTCAGTTTCACCATTTTACCATTCAAACCTTGGAGAGAATGCGAGGTCGTTACATTCACAGCACTCATCCACTTGCCGGTTACAGTTTCAAAGAACGGATGATCGCGCGTAACCCAGATGTCCTCCTCGTGCGTGCGAAACACAACGAGATCAATTTTTGGCACAAACTGCTTCCGAACTTGGTCAACACGACGCAGATAAGTCACAGAAGAATCGTCGCCCTCATGACGAGTCACTACCATATCGCCTTCCTTGATGGTTTCGATCGGTACCATTCCTCTGGCAGTATGAACCAAGGTGTCTCCCCTGAAGCAAGACTTCAACAGGCAGCAATCGTGATGCCAAGTAGGACGGCAGTGAATATTGGCAAGAGTAGAGCAATCACACGTCTCTGGTGGACAGCACTTTGGACACCTAATCGTGTCGCACTCGGTGCCCACGTACTGAGCTGAACTACACTCGCATCTGTAAGGATCGTGTAGACATGCACCATGAACACACGGCACCATACAGTATCTGATTACCGTACAGGGTCCGTGCAAGGGATCAAATCCAGGGACGTGAACTTGGTTGGCCCAGCCAGCATCACAGGCACATGACTTGCCGAGAGGGGCCAGATGACACCGTCCATTAACACATCCATCACAAGTCTTTTCGGAGCATTGTGGACCCATATATCCTTAGAGGAAAGGGACGGGAGACAAGTAAGATATAATATCCTACCTTGAAAAAAAATCACCGAGAACTAGTAGCTATGTGATGTGTTTGATTTTTTTAGCCTACGAATACAGCCGTCTCTCCTTGCTCCTCATGACCACAAGGGACTTTCCCGCGAAACCTACCTTGAGCTGTCAGGAGAGACGTCTGTACTCGTGGGCTTTTTTCACGGGCAGAATTATAGTGAGTGCTAGAAATAGCGCTAAAATCTCATTTAGGAGTAAAGGACATTGTGTATCATCATTCATACCTGGTTTACACTTGCACGTGTTAGGACCATCCTTGCAGGTCCCTCCTTCAGAGGAGCAGTTGAGACAAGGACCTTCGTAGATACTACAGTTTCCTGGAGGCCCCCAATTGGTCTCACACTCGCACACGTCAGGTTTGTGGGTACATCGTCCATGTTCACAGGGCACACTGCATTCACTGATGGTCTCACAATGTTCCCCTGTATTCACAAAAGACAGATGGGATTTTGTATTAAATAGATAGGGTTTTTTTGGTTAGTAAATCAATAAATTTCAATCACATTTCGGCGTGCGGATAATATATGGAGTCATCTTGCGCCCAATGTTAGGGAATCCAAGACAGTCTTGGATTCTGGATTCCTCGCCGTGAATTTCAGATTCCAGGTACTGGATTCCAGTCCTTTTCTGTGGAACTTGGATTCTGGATTCCAATCTTAGGATTCGGGATTCTAAAGTCCAGGATTCAGTATTTCACGAGCAAAACTTTTCCAGGATTCCGGATCCCTCAAGCAAAAATTTACCGGATTGCGGAATCCGGATTCCCTTAAATCGGGCGACATCTTAAAGGCCGGGGCTATTGTCACGCCTTCTCTAAAAGCAGGGGCTATTGTCACGAAAGCCGGGGCTATTGTCACGCTAAACGTGAAATTCTTTTTGAACTGTTTTTAAAAATCTTTAACTTTTTCTTGCATCAATTGATTGCCAAAAATAATGTTCCAGATTTGTAATTAATGGCCATAAAAGTATGAAAAGGCATTGGAACTGCTCACTGTCGTCTGTTGCCGGCAACAGCTGGCAAGGGAAGTTTAAAGTTTTAATTTTACCGTAAAATTCCGAAAATAAGCCCCGGGGCTTATATTTTTCAAAGGCCCTTTTTGAGTGGCTTATTTTTGGAGGGGCTTATCTACGGAGGGAAATTTGCGTTTCAAAATCGAATGGGCTAGCCTTACAGTTGGAAGAAAATTTACCGTTTTGGCTTTGCTTTGCTTTATATTTGAGGGCAATTTTCCAAGTACAAGCCCCCGGGGGGCTTATATTTGGAGGGGCGATTTAACGGAGGGTTTTTTGCGTTACCGGATTGGGGGGCTTATATTTGGAGGGGCTTATACATGGAGGGGCTTATTTTCAGAATTTTACGGTATGCCAGCAAAAATCACCAAAAAGGTTATTTCGGTTACTGCTCCCTGATGAAATTTGTTTCATATCTTCTTCACAGGAATATTTGTATACATGTATAGGTTTAACGCACTATAAATGACTGCTGCACAGAGTTGCCCTAAAACAACAATACCATCCTCATAGCCCTTGTTTAAAGTTGTTCTTAATAGCCACTTGATACGCTGGCCACCGCGCGCCTGCAACTTTTAACTTAAAAATGGTCAATACTATTATCCCGGGGGGTACACCTGAGAATTCTTGGTGGGGGTGTGCCGCCCGGTTCTCCAAATCCTGACCTTATTTCAGACCGAAAATTGTCATTTTTTACACTCGTTTTCAGACCTGGTCTCTAAGAAATTATGTCACCACCATTACTTAGGTTTAGAATGTCAATAAGAAAGATGTCTTACAATCCACCTCGAATTCGCATATTTCTCTTTCTTTCTTATTCATTTGGAATTGAAACGATAGATACGTTCATACGTACACTCCCGTAGTTTCCTCGAAAACCCTACCCGATTCCAGACCAAAATGGATAACGTCTATATCCGTTTTCAGACCAAAACGGTGCGAAAACTATACCCTTTGGGGCGGCACAGAGCTGTATGGCTTATATAAGGGAGAACCCTCCCCCTGCGACTTTTATAGATGATGGAAATGACGTCGAAATGTCCAAAGTCAAGTGATAGGAGTGCTTTTACTCCGAATTGACGGTATAAAAGGTCTATTCCCGGCAAAGGATCTTGGAAAATCGCACACAAGAGACAGAGAAACAAATTGCGCCATCCAGTTACGTCATTTCAAAGTCTCAACGGCCAGGGCTCTCGGCCAATCCGTAAGAAAAAACGAAAAGTGAGCCGATTGAAAGAACTGCCCGAAACAGTCAACCGAAGATTTCGAATCGAAACACATCTAATATCTCAGGTATTTTGACATGTTATAATTACTGTTGTCAGAAGTAATCGGCTCCTGCTGTTGTAACGTTTCCTAGTTTCTAATCAAATGGAAAAAAATAAATGTAGCAACGCTATTTAGTCATGCCGGCCGTTCCACTGTGGTCAGTTATAAGTACTGAAACACCAGCCTCGTTCCCAGTCGTCCTCGGCGATTTCGGATGTGACGTCACCTGTCAAGCTGGTCGGGAAAATTGGTAACTCGGATACCGCGAACTGGCCTGGGTACGAGGGGGCTGAAACACGCGTCAACGGGCGGACTTGTTTTTGTTTTCTATGCTTGAAGCTTGAACTCACCCGAATAGTTTGGAGGACAAACGCAGTGGTGGAGATCAACACAGTAGCCTCCGTTTAAACATTCCCATCCTGCTGCACAGTACGATCTATAAATAAGCAGTCAAAAATACTTCTGCGGTTAGAAAAGAAGGCAGGAACACAAATTATCTGGGGGAGGGGGTGACATATGCAGTTACATAACAATAACTTCGTGTATCTTTCGTCATGCACCTGGACTTACAAGGTATTTTAGCAGTGGCCAAGCATTTCTGGTCAATTTAAAGATGCTTTTTGGGTTGGGATATTTTCAAAGGTGAGGACGTGCCCCCTGATCGATGAGCAAGTGAATAAGTGCATTTATTAGTTGTCCCTGGCTAATTAGTATATAGATTTAGCCAGGGCTAAAAGCGAAGCTCTTGATAATTTTTATAGCTTGCTCAAACAAAATATAAAATCGTATAATGCTAAGCGGTGAAGGCAACGAGAACGGTGAAAAAAAAAACAACAACGATAGGTGTAATTAGCAAAAAAGCAACTTTGCACGTGCAGCACACTTTTTTTGTACATTTCTTTGGCGTTGTTTTGCACGACTGTTACATGAAACTTCCAGAAACTTCCTAGTTACACGTTTTATGAAGGGAATGTCGGACGTGTTCTTGTTCACTCTTTTTACTGTCGCTCATTTTCACCCTTGGTGGCCGCTAGCATCCCGCCACTACAAAATTTCATATTGTTCCTCCAACAGAAAATGTCTCCTTTTGTTTTCTCTCTCTCGCTCTAGCTCCTTTTCTCGTTGAGCTTCGCTGGCCTGTCGCCCTACTTTCTCTTTTTCTCTGTCTTTCTGTTTCTCTATATTCCAAATTTGTGGACATGAAAATTAATCTAAGCTTAATGCTTAAAAAAAAAAACCGGATACAGAAACATTTTCCGCTTTCCGTTCTCGTCTTTATTGACTCTTTAGTTGTGTCTGCTTCACAAGACGCGGGTGGCCATACGCTTTCCCTCCAAAATAACCTCACATTTGGCATCGACTTACATGTAGTGGCATGGGTGTACGGACGGTCGTTCGTACGCTACGTCATAACCAAATTTTCTCGGATGGACAGTTTACCAAATTTTCTTACCCAAGGTGCTCCGCTGGCGCGCCTCGCGCGCGAGAGCTCCGCTAAAAATGTAAGCCTTTACGAAAAAAACAATTGTTGTGTGTGTTGGAGAAAAAAATTCATTAATTAAAGAACTTTTAAAAATACAACATTTTCATTTCGGATGTTTGAGCTTGAGGTAATTATACAGTGTAGGTGATTATAACCCCATTGGCTATTATACTTTGAAAAATTCCATAATATTCTCAAATTGCTGTTCAGTGAAGCTCTCCCCAAATAGCAATTTCAGAATATTATGACTTTTTTTGCTTGGGCCTGTGATACACTAAAAGAAATCCGTTTGGACCGTAAAACGCTAATTTATTACCTTTCACATTCTGTGCCATAGTAATTGTCGTAACACTCGCATTTCTTTGGGTCGTTTGGGCATGCGCCATATTTGCAGGGAACTTGGCAGAGAGAGCGATCGCACAGGTCTCCCACCCAGCCAGGCTCACAGTCGCATCTACTCCTAGATTTCTTGCAGGATCCATGATATCTACAGGGGAACCAAGGAAAGCACGAGGTGACGTTTTCACAGTTTTGACCAGTCCATCCCGTCATGCAACGCGCGCATTTCTCTCCATCAGTGTCGCAGTAGCCGTGTTTGCAGGTAGCGTTTGGCGATATGCAGCCGATACTCTCGCAACATTCGCCAGTGTATTGGCCCGTTCTTTGGCGCGCGTAGCAACTACACGTCTGTGTTGCTGCGTTGTAGTCCCCATTCCCAAAGCACTGTGTATCTGCCAGACAAGCGCCTTGGATTCCTGGTATCAAATTTAGCAGTAGAACACACAATGACAGTCCTGTCAAAGGTGTTAGCATTTTTGCTTTGAAATGTAACGTCGTTCAGCCTGTTAAAAAAGGGAAAAGTTAGCAATTTTTATTTCAAAAGGCAAATCAATGGGAAGCAGAGGCAGACAATTTTACTTTTCAATGACCGTGTAAAGTGATAGTTTTGTGAAAGTAATAGTGGAACTGTGCAGACACTTGAATGAGACCCCGGAATTTCACATTTTTGAGGGGGAAAAGTCCCTGTTTATTTTTTCGCTCTCTTTCCAGGATTTTGTCAGCAATCTCAATTCCGATAAATTGTCGTCATTGGCGGGAAATAAACCGCTCTGTTTACGTGAATTCCGCGATTTTCCCACTTGCACTTCTCGTCCTTATCACTTCGGGTTGCGCATGTGCGTGTACTGACTCAGTAAAATCCCTTAAAAAAAGTAACCTATTTTGAATTCATTATAAAATAATTGTAATTAATTGATTAATTGTACTTTCGTAATTATTGTATTTCTTGTATCTTTATGTCATTAGAATAATATAGTTTGAATTCATTACTGTAATTAATCTCTGTAATTTCGTAATTATTGTATATATTAATACTGTATAATGTTATAGACACGTCTCCATACCACCTGCCCCGATTAGCTCCGCTATTTTGCAGGTAGTCTGTATTTGTAATTTATTTATTGTTAGTGTACTGAGTGTAAACGAATAAAGCTTGACTTATCACTTCCGCTTTCGCTCTCGTTTCGAATTCTGAGAAACAATGTACGAACAAGTGGAGGAAGAGAGCATAAGAAAAGGGAATGTCAGCGAGCGCCAGGCTCAATTTAAACAAAAATCGTTGTACATTAGCCTGCGTAGCAAGCGTTTCCAATCGAGTTATTGCGCGAAAGTTAGAGCGGAAGCAAAAAAAAGGTTGAAGGGGGAGGGGGAGGGGAGAAGAGGAAACGCTTGCCCGCAAACCCCTATATTATTCTAATGACATAAAGATACAAGAAATACAATAATTACGAAAGTACAATTAATCAATTAATTACAATTATTTTATAATGAATTCAAAATAGGTTAGCTCGCTGTTGCTTCCTCTTTCACTTTTGATCGGGAAGCAGTTGTTTTTCCGAGAAATATTTGAAAAAAAACGAGAAGCTCCTTTTGTGAAAGTAACAGGTTTTCTTTACCAAGAAAGAGATTGGGATTCTCAACAATTGTTCTAACTAATATAATTGTATTAACTCAAGAAAACAGTAAATGCTTGAACAACAACGAAGATAACGTCTTTACGCGCAAGAGAGAACGATTTGCAACGTAACAAATCAAAAACAGGGAGCTTCTTCTACAAAGGGTTTTAACCTAGCTTCGTTTCCGTTGCTTTAAGCAAAAAAATAGAAGACGTCGAGCTAGTCTGCTCGCAGCTTGGCTGAAAGGGCTTTGGTCTACTGATGAACTCATTACAGAATACAGCACACTGCACTTACCCGACTGTTCCTAACTCCTTCCTTCCTTGGCCGAGCAATATCAGTTGGACTGAAAACGGGAACAAGCTATCGTAGATATATGAACATTGCTAAATAAAACCTGTCAGTTCTAAACATCATGTGATGGGATCTTAAACCAATAGTTGTTAAAATATTTCTTTACGCACTGGTTGGGGAAGCCCCTACTATCTCTATCCTGGCAAGAGCCCAGAAGCTTATCCGCTCCTGATCCTGCATATTTCAACCATTTTCCACTTACAGCGACCGCATTATGAAGAACGAGACAGAGAAAAGTAAACCATGAGTTAAATGCCGAAAGTTGCATGACAACACTTAGCTTTCTAAATTGGGTGATGCATAATGATGGAATAGGACTGGGTGTTCCTTCATTTAGAATCTTACAAGTTTCTTGGCAAAACATCTATTAGGGAAAACCCCCCTGTATTGTGAATGAAGTGTGAATAAGTCATGTGATAGTCACCAGACTTATTCACCATTCATAAACCGATTAGTTCATGTCTGCGCTGATCAATGAATATTTAATCAACTGAAACACGTCACTAAAAGAACTGAGGGTGCGCAATTTCCAAGAATCCTTGTGCAGACATTCAGTGGTAAAATAATACTTCTGTTATTTACCCTCGGCAGTATTTATAGCACTGATGCAAGTGGGGCCGAGCAAATTCCTGAAACAAATAATTCATATTAAACTCAACTGCAGGGTGAATCCCAACTGGGCAGAGGCAAACCAGCTGGCTATTTACAAGCATGGCCGAGGATCTGAACTCGGAACTACCGAGAACAAATCCAGCTGGCGGTCATAGCAGGACTTGAATTTGGGGGAATTGCAAGTCCAGCGCTCTAACCACGTCATCCGGAAGTGAGGCCATTCATTTCCCTTTTAATATGCCTTGAAGCTCGCTATAAAGAGTCTTTACCCTAAAAGAGACAATTTGCCCCAAGACTTTTTGGATAGTGGACAAAACCATTGCCCAAGGTTAATCTGATTAACGCAAAAGGTCCACTTCCGGTTGACTTTCGTCTTCGCTAACAGGCGCGAGGCGAAAAAGAAAATCAGCTAGCGAAGCGAGTCGAGCGTAGCCTATGGAAGGAAAAACGGCGGCCACGCTCTGCTCGCTTTTCTTTTTCGCCCCGCTCCGCTTGGGAGCTTTGGAGAAAACCAGTCAGCCCTAAACATCATGTGATGGGATCTTCAACCAATGGTTGCTCAATTATTTCTTTAGGCACTGGTTGGGGAAGCCCCTATCTATCTCTATCCTGGCAGGAGCCCAGGAGCTTATCAGCTCCTGATCCTGCATATTTCAACCTTTTTCCACTTACAGAGACCGCATTATGAAGAACGAGACAGAGAAAAGTACACCATGAGTTAAAGGCCGAAAGTTGCATGACAACACTTAGCTTTCTAAATTGGGTGATGCATAATGATGGAATAGGACTGGGTGTTCTTTTATTTAGAATCTTACAAGTTTCTTGGCAAAACATCTATTAGGGAAAACCCCCCTGTATTGTGAATGAAGTGTGAATAAGTCATGTGATAGTCACCAGACTTATTCACCATTCATAAACCGATTAGTTCATGTCTGCGCTGATCAATGAATATTTAATCAACTGAAACACGTCACTAAAAGAACTGAGGGTGCGCAATTTCCAAGAATCCTTGTGTAGACATTCAGTGGTAAAATAATACTTCTGTTATTTACCCTCGGCAGTATTTATAGCACTGATGCAAGTGGGGCCGAGCAAATTCATGAAACAAATAATTCATATTAAACTCAACTGCAGGGTGAATCCCAACTGGCCAGAGGCAAACCAGCTGGCTATTTACAAGCATGGCTGAACTCGGAACTACCGAGAACAAATCCAGCTGGCGGTCATAGCAGGACTTGAATTTGGGGTCTCCGAATTGCAAGTCCAGCGCTCTAACCACGTCATCCGGAAGTGAGGCCATTCATTTCCCTTTTAATATGCCTTGAAGCTCGCTATAAAGAGTCTTTACCCTAAAAGAGACAATTTGCCCCAAGACTTTTTGGATAGTGGACAAAACCATTGCCCAAGGTTAATCTGATTAACGCAAAAGGTCCACTTCCGGTTGACTTTCGTCTTCGCTAACAGGCGCGAGGCGAAAAAGAAAATCAGCTAGCGAAGCGAGTCGAGCGTAGCCTATGGAAGGAAAAACGGCGGCCACGCTCTGCTCGCTTTTCTTTTTCGCCCCGCTCCGCTTGGGAGCTTGTTCGCAGGGTATACCCATTCTGTTCTATTCTATTGTTTTGTTTTTTTTTTTTTCCAGCCCCTGATGAAGACTAGTTTTGTGTCGTTGAAATATTGGGCTAATAAATTTGTAAAACCTTAGCTGACCGATCAGCCTTGCCTTCAGTTTTATGTACACCTATTCTATCGCAATAGATTGTTTTCACATGACGTTTCTGGGGCAAAACAAGAGTTATTCTGTGGCGATTGAACTTTGTCTCATGGAAAAACTTTATTTCTTTTGTTCTATAAAATTTGCATAGCTGCTAACCTTGCGTACGGGACCCTACAGCTTTGCTTAAAATTTGACCTTGGGGAGAGGGAATCGCTACAAACTATGGCAAGTAAGTCTAAAAAGAGTAGAAGAAAAAACATGATATTTTCCTAAGGTTATCATAGGGACAGGGCAAAACCATCTGATTTTCGAAATCGAATTTCTGGCTTCGAGTCATGTAAATGGAATCTACCCGTTCCCCGCTGTTCTCGTTTTAGTTAAAGGAAGTTTACGATGCTTCGTTTTTAAAACTGAGAGTACAAATTAAAATAGTTTTTCTTTGAGCGCCCTTATTGTGAAACTAACTGAAAACTTCAGCGGCATTGATCAATCAATCCATCAATCTGGTGTTGGAAAATGTTGCTGACCATCTTAGTTAGATTTTAGTAAAAGGGCACTAAATTGTTTTGGCTTTAGCTTAAATCAGTGGATTATAAGTTACTTATAGTTCTAAAAGTTGAGGACTGAGATGGAAGCGTAAAGGTTGGATAATTGATAAACAGTTTCTTCTATCTAGCTTAGCATTAGTCTCCCTCGCAGCCGTTTTTTGGATGTCACGCAACGCTCCCCTGCGTTGCGTGACATCCAAACAACGGCGGCCGGGGAGACTAGCTTATCAGCGTTCAGTTTGAAACAGTACTACGTGTAAGTTATCTGCAGGGAGCTCCCGTTGTTTACAATTCAATATGAACAGTGGACGAAATGTCGACATACTAGTATTGAGAAAATACAACTAAGTTAGTCATCAAGGAATCGCACGCAAATTTTAATCACGTAAATAAAATAGAGGCAAGACAAAAAGTGCTGACCTTAAACTAGAAGTTAACCGAGGTTCATCTTTACGCCTAGGAACGACCTTTCATGCATTGCCTCTATTTCATTTGCGAGCGCAAATTTTACGCACGTACGCGCGTAAAAATTGCGCGACACTGGAATTCAACCCTTAGCTACACTCAGTCCATGAAATTTCCAAGTCTCTCCAAATTTCTACCTTCTAATCTTTTCCTATATAAGTCTAAGTCCCTTCAATTTTAATAGAGAAAAAAAGGAGATTGAATGTTGCATAAGCGGGTTCCGAACCCGCGGTCCTAGAAACCGAAATCCATTGGCTATAGTACTTTTTTCATATTTATCCCTTTAAGCCCCAATATCCACATACAAATTCTCCAAACTGATCTCTATACATTTCCTTCAAGAATAAGTTGATAGAATTTGAAAAAAGATCAAGGCATTTTTCTTAGGCGATCATTTTATTAATTCTCATAACCTAATCTCTTGACATTGTATGGATATCGTCAGGAGAAAATTAACGTTAGACACTATTGGAGCTTAAAAGGGTTATAGTGATAAACCTAACAGTAAATGAAAGCTAACCATTTCGAGTCAGTGCTTCAAGCACTTATCACTATTTTCAGTGTTAAACCTTAATCACTAAAACGTTTTTGAGAAGTTTTAAAATGTCACAACCTAACTGCATAGAAATAATTAGAGATTACGTAATGAACTTTAGAACAGTTGTTGCAAAATAAACGTCATGTCTTTAGGCAGGGGCAGAAACAGTGAGGACTGTTGCTAGTGGTACTTCCAAAAATTCACTGTTAGGTTTAGGCAGATTTATTGGCTACGGTTTAAAAAGTCGTACCCACCGCATGGAGTAATGGTTCATTATTATGCAAAAATGCTAAAAAACACTCCGGAATGTTTTCTCAAATAAGTGAGCAATTCAGTAAGCCTCACGTAATATGAATCATAACACACCAATATCAATTCGGAATTCTGAAAACATCAAACCTGTTTCCGAATACTTGCATATTAAAATCTAGCCTGGTCATGATCGGGACACGGAGCCCTCGGTGCTTAAATGTGATCTCGGCTAGTTTAAATGGCATCTTGAAAAACTCGGCCAAGGGGAAAACTTGGCGAAGTGTTGTACAAGAATTTGAATGTACAGATCGATCCAACAGCATTTTTTAGCGAAGAATATCAGTCGTGAACAATTTTTTTTTTTGCTTAAGTGTGGCTCTGTCAATGGTCGAGACCGGATATATACAGTACAGTAAAGTTACCATCACTGGTAATACACCAAACGGCTGGCTTCAATACAAGGTATGCTGCTAATTTGAACAAACCCATGTACCACGCCAGTGTCAAAGGAAGGTAGAGCTTTTAAACATGATGTTGTTAGAGATAATAGACAGAACTAAAATTATCTTTAGTTCTATTCATATCAGTGATAACAAGCAAGTTCGAGTCCTTTACATCGTGATGAAGGCCAGGTTTTAAGAGGACATTCAAGGTCGACCACTTATATTCAGTTTCAGTAAAGCTTTGTTTCTTATAAACGATTCCTGTGGCACAAGACTCAGACTTAAGGGTGAATTTGTGAAACAAGTTCGGGAAAGCAAGAAGAGGACAAATTCTTTCACTTCCTCTTGTGAAAAGTGTTCAAGAATTTCTTATTCTTAATTCTCAATGATAGAAGAAGACGTAGGCGCATATTAATCCCACACAAAGAAGTCATCGCGGTAAAACTTACTAAGCGT